TAATCCATTTGTTACTTGTTATTCGGTTCAGTGTCACTCATCATGTTTTGGTTTTAACATACATACATACATACATTCAAACATACATACATACATACATACATACATACATACATACATACATACATACATACATACATACATACATACATACATACATACATACATACATACATACATACATACATACATACATACATACATACATACATACATACATACATACATACATGCATGCATGCATGCATGCATGCATGCATGCATACATACATACATACATACATACATACATACATACATACATACATACATACATACATACATACATACATACATACATACATACATACATTCAAACATACATACATACATACATATATACACGTGCATTCACCCTTTCATTCAACGGTTATATTGTACATGGGCAGTTGATTGATGAAATGAATGTTAAAGAGTGACTCCTCCAATGCTTTCGTCTGCTCCTGAAATACGTGATCTAAATCATAAACATTCTGCCTGCACAGACATTCACACACACTGGCGCACACCACAGATACACTCACACTCTCCTTCACACACACACACACACACACATTCACGTACACACACGCATTAGTTTGCATGCATGCCTGGCTGGATTCTCTTGTGTATTTAAATGTTTGTATTCTGTGATGTATGTATATATTTGCATTTGTATGTCAGTATGCTATTGTATCTTGTTAGACATTTGTGTCTTCTCTATTTGTATACATTTGTATTTTCATGTTTGTTTATGTTTTTGTATTATTTGGAAGCGTTCTAAAGATGCTAACGTATTTTTAGCTTATTTTTTCATATGCACGTGATTGTATGTTGAAATTGCTGACTATTTGTGAATGTTGGTATATTTTTAGATGTGTTGGTATAAGTTTGTATATGTTTATATATGTTTGCATATGTTTTTATACGTTTGCATATTTCTGTATATGTTTGTATATGTTTATACGTTAGTATGTGTTTGTGTTCGCACGCTTCTATATGTTTGTATAAATCTATCTTTGTGTTCGTGCTTGTTTGTAATATTTTGTCTAATTTTTTTAAAAATATAATTTCTGCGCATCAATAACCAAGAATTTATTTCAACAGTTTCATCAGCCTCTAATCATACTTTTTTGTTTGTTTTTTTTTCCGTTAGTTAGTGTATTTTTGGTTCGATTTTAAAAAGATTTCTGCCGTAAAAAATGTGGTGGTCTAATTAAACTATTCATCGCAGGTTAAGTTAGTTTAATTATAAACTTTTTTAAATTTGTATGAATATAAATAGATTTTTGTGCGGATCTCGGGTTAAGGATACACCTTTGGCAGAATGTGTATAATTAATTTAAACGGATGTGTATATTTATGTGTGTCCGTGTATGTATGATGCACGTCTGTATGCGTGTGTCTGTTTGCATATTTTGTTATTTCGCCTCTGTGTATTTGTGGCTGCGTTTAATGTTTTTAATTTGGTCGCCGATTGATCGAACATTGAACGAACAGTTTAGTTCAGAAAGTCATTTGTCAGAGGATTACCTACATGGTTACGTCATCGGCAGAAGTTTCCATGATTAGTTGTTGAACGAATGAATGAATGAATGGTTTAAAGAAAGGATGATTAAATGAATGGATAAATAGGTGAATACATGAATGAATGAGTGGATGAATGAGTGAATCCATAAAAGAATCAATGTGTGTGTGTGTGTGTGTGTGTGTGTGTGTGTGTGTGGAAATGTACGTATGCATGTGTGTGGTGTATCTACGTGTGATGTATTTCTCTCTCTCCCTCTCTCTCTCTCTCTCTCTCTCTCTCTCTCTCTCTCTCTCTCTCTCTGTGCGTGTAAACATGTGTATGTGTTACATATTATCTCTTATGAAATAATTTAAAACATTGTAGGTGCATGCGTGACCGAGCAATCTGACAACAGAAAAAAAATTTAGAACCTCGATGAAACTGTCCAGCATATCTGCATCTCATGTAAAGCCTCTGTGCCAATTGTAACCTGCTTATATACTTCACACTTCAGCCAATTTTCCTGGATTAAGAGAGACTATTTCACTACCCTATCAGAAAGAGAAAAAGATAGAGAGAATGAGAAAGAAAGAGAAAGAAGGAGAGAGACAAGGAAAAAGAAAGAGAAGGAGAGAAAGAGGGAGACTGTTAAATGTGAAGGTAGTATGAAGAAAATGAACGATGGAGATGCTCTGAAGTAAGATGAATCTTGGCGTTCATAAACATTTGTCACGCCTCCTTATATTGAAAACTATTTTAAAATTGCTGTTTTTGGTTTTTTGCATCTTTTTATTTTTAAATAATTTTTAGTTTCATTCATGAGATTGTTAATTAATTATTTAACGAAATAAATTTCATTTTCATTGAATATTATTACATTTTCATTTCAAATATTTTTCTATCATACTAATTTTAAAATTTTTGCTTTTTTTCTATACTTCTGTTTTTTTTTCAACTTCACAAATATCTCTTCCTCTCCCACTATCCAAAACTTGCTCGTCATCAACTGCTGCTCGAAAGCTTTACACTTCCAACAAACGACTCACAACAGCGCCTAATAGCGATTCATTAATCTGTGTTAATGCCGACAGCTAAGTAGCCAAATTCACAACACACACAAACACCACACACACACACACACGCACACGCACACACACATATACCATATACACACACATACACGCACAGTAACTTATCTAAATGCACATCCACATGCAGCCACATACAAACATACACACAAACATACAGACACACATATAGGCAGCACTCATCTTTTCAAATTTATTCACGTATTCCAAACCGAAGACGTATGTGCTTGATGCGTATGATGTTTTACATACAAGCTCACTCACCTTCAATCAAACACACGTACACACACACACACACACACACACACACACATACACACACACACACACAAATCTACCAAGATATATTTGACAATTTCCATTAATCAAAGCATGTGTGAAGAAGAATATGCTATGCAGTGACAACATTTTATTTTTAGCAGGTCTATATTATAAAAACATTAAAATGTCATGGCAATAACATTAGACACATAAACACAAGCCATTACATTACATAAACACATACACACACCAACCGACAACAACATACCAACACACACATAAAAAACAGACAAACACACACACAAACATACTAACACTTGCACACATACATGCTGTCATGTATTTGAATGCATGCACAGGCATTAATATTCATTTCAACGAAAGCCTCTATATCAGCATTTGGAAAATTGTAATGCTTTTGAGAAAAAATTATTTCTCTGAAATTTTTTTTTCAAGTATAAAAATGTGTAATTACCAGTCACACTGTCAAAAGAAAGTAGTTTTGGGAGAATAAAATTTGCCATTTCATTTTCATATATGATTATCCACTATAGATTATATGGTCAAAGAGTTTTTAGGTGCAAAGGTCAAACATGTTCAGTCAGTCTGTGAACAAACGTTCTGATACAAACATACAAAGAAATATATACAGATATAATGATGCATACATACAAACAGATAAAAACGTACATGAACATACAAACAAAGAAAGATGTAAAACAGATATAAACAAACCTAAAAATTCAAACAAACATGCATACACAATAAGAAACATACAATCATATAAACTCACATACATACAATCTTACACATAATCACATACGCAACCACACCCACAGACACATACAAGACACATCACACTGGTTCATGGATTCAAAATTTCACCTAATCAAGAAGAAACACTACCGGACACACATTTACTCAAAGACACACCCAGGCACACATTTTCAGGCACACACACACACATTTTCAGACACACACACACACACACACACACGTACAGACAGGCAATCACATTGTTGCAAATGTGGTCTTATAAGGGCAACTGCAAACTCAAAATAAGATTTGCTTTTCGAAATGTGGATGCAGAAATAAATTAGTTCCTTTATTATTAATATTATTATTATTATTATTTTATTATTGTTATTATTATTATTACTATTATTATAATGATCATTATTATTATCTATATTTTTATTTTATCATGTTTTTTCCCTATTTTTAATTGGCTTTATTGAAGCTGAAAATATAACAGACGATATTAATTAATTAATTAATTAATTATTCACGAAAATACAAAATTAAATCACGCTATGCCGTATGAATTTATATCCCGTGATCTACTCACGCACACACATACCCACACCACACACACACACAACTGGATCTCTCTCTCTCTCTCTCTCTCTCTCTCTCTCTCTCTCTCCCTCTCTTACACACACTCACGCACACACTAACACATACCATAAACACACGTACACAAACACATTCACACACACACATATATATATATATATATATATTATTAAAGATGTATCTCATTTAATAAACATAATGAAACTAATTAATTAGCAGCTTAATAAATCTATATAATGTAAATGCATAAATAAATAATTTCGTAGATTTGATTCTGGCCATAATTGAAAAAATTCAAACTTCATTGGTGATAGTATCATCCCGGCGCTCAAATCCAAGACAGATGAGGACGATGACGATGATGATGCCTTCTCCATAACTGCAAACGATGAAGATGACGACGAAGACGACGATGAGGATGACGTCATCTTGTGACGTTTTTTGTTATCCATGTGCACTTCGGCGTACTAATTGAATTCAACTGATGATGAAATTTTTTATTCACTTGTGTGTGTGTGTGGGGTTGTGTGTGCGTGTGTGTGCGTATGTTTGCGTGTTAACCAGAATGTCTGTTCATTCATGTGAAAACGTAAAGTAGGAGCTTCTATTCGGTAGTGAGTGTTTCATGGCGACATTGTTCAAATCTTTCTAACTCTTTTGCTAGTGTTGTTCAACGGTTGTAATAATTTTTTTATTTTTCTCTGGTGAATAAAACTTTTTTTGTGATCTGTTTTGATATTTTAATTAAAACTTCAAACAGAATAAAATCTTCTGATGATTCAAACCAGACAAACGAAATTTCCCATCCTCATACGGAACCAACTATTCATCGCACGAAAAATGTTCACCCACAAACAACAAACTTATTGAATGAACGTTCATCAATGTTCATCACAGTCAAACAAACAAGGAAACATCATCCATCGTACCGACCAACCGGAACGAAGCATGTGGGAATCTGACATGAACGCATGCGAATGCATCCTTATATAGGGAAAGCCAGAATGACCAAGCTTCAACGTATATATTAATACATGCACGTATTTGCATGCATGCAAAATACATACATATACATTGACGTGCAAGATTTATTTATTTTTTTTAATTATGAAAAATTTATATAGCGCTTTAAAAAACAAAAAGTTTCTCAAAAGCACTATCCATAACAGTGAAATAATAAAATAAATGAATGGTCTGGATAACATCCAGAACAGCATTATTACTACTACTACTACTACTACTACTACTACTACTACTACTACTACACTACTACTACTACTACTACTACTACTACTACTACTACTACTACTACTACTACTAATGTGTTTTCTGATTTTTTTAAAAAAGATATAAAGATATATAAACATATTTATAGAGCCATTTATTTCCATTTACTTAGAAACAATCATACGTACGGTTTAATACTTTGATCATGCAAAATACATACAAATGTATACACGTGAGCCAAAAATTTGAAAATGGGTCAAAATTTTCACGGGGGTGGGCAAGATTAGTGGTAGTGTGACTGAAAACGTTTTTTTGCTTATCACCTTAAATTTTTGGACGGTTTTGATCATAAAACGTTTTCTGACTTTAATTAGAATGTACATACTTGTGTATGTTTATTTTGAATTGTTTTCCATATCTCATCCGTATCTCCACCTGTTAATATTTATGTTTGCATTAAAATTATATATATGAAAAAAAAACCTGCAAAAGCGTTTTATAAATTGTACGCTGAACCTGTGGAAGGGATTTTCAGTTCGGATGACGGATATTTCCATATTTCTTCTCACTGTTTTTTTGGAAAAAATACAAATTTATAAACTGTTCTACTTTTTAACATCGTTTCATTTTTTATCAGTTAAACATTTCTTGAAAATGTAAATTTAAATTTTACCATTCAAGAAATAAAGCTGATCGTATTTATCTTATATTTTATTAATGTAAAACAATAAAGTAGACAAAAATGACAAATCTGTATGATAGATTTCAACGTTCCGTGACACAAGGAAGTCAGTCAAAAAAACTTTAAAGAATTAATCTTCTAATTGTAGTAGGTTAACTGTATAAAGTATGATTAACTAAGACATAAGAACTGAAATTTTTATATTTAAATGTGAACTAACGACTTAATAATTATTGAAAAAATGATGGAAGGAAAATCTTAAAAAATTTCTTGAAACAATGTTAGTTTATATCGTAGGGACCTGCGTAGCCAATAGCCAACACAACTTTGTGTGTATGTGCATGGTTAATGTTGTTCACCAACTTTTCATCAAAAACAGCGCGATTTAATTTCAACTGAATAACTTCGAGAAATATCACAAATGTTGAATCCCACTTAAGCGCAACCACCGCGCATATTTTGCATACCAACTTGTCCGTATTTTAGGATAATTAAAAGCTTGAACGACCGCTTGTGAAATGTTCTCTATTTTTTGGCTTGAAGTTAAACTCAGCAAAAGCTGTCATAGAACACACATGCCAGATTTATCGTTTAAATATAATCGTTTGTTTACGAAAATCCCTTCATGCAAAATTGGAAAAAAGCCAGCGCACACTAGCGAAAAGAAACTTGATAGCTACTTAAGCAGTTTTTAGTTATAAAATATACTGTAAAAGATTTCCAATTCGAAAATGCGTTTTAAACCTCTCGCTTGCTTAACATTCTCTGTTGATAAGAAGCGCTTGATAACAATTTGATTTGAATATAAGTAAAAATAATTGAAAAAATGTACATATGAAATATCAATGATGGCCAGTGACTGCAACGTGCTATTTGAAATATGTGACATTCAAATCAGCCTGTGATTGATGGCCTGTTGAATAAAATAATAGGTCTTTTTGCTAGCCTTATAAATTTTGTAACAGTGTTCTAGATTTTGTTCAAAAATAAACTCATGCTGATGCATACCCACAATAAAATAATCAGGCAAAATAAAAGCAAATGATCATTTATAATAAATAAGTATTAAAGGCAGAGGGTAGGCAGAGCTCATGATCGGAGGCGGCTTGCCAGATGGAGTAATGATATCTTGCCTGGAGTGGCAAAAGAAGAGGTTGTTCATGTGCAATCAACGTTTTCTTTCGTCGTTAATAAATGTTGTTTGCATGTGTGCATGTGTGTGCGCGCGCGTGTGTGTGTGTGCGTGTGTTTTTTCTTCCAATAACGAACAGAATGTAGTTGTGTGTACTTCAGTGTTGCTATTATTTGCCTCCATCCTGTTGTTAGCAACCTACTGATGATAAACATTATCAGGATCTGAACAATCGCAAACAACGATATCACTTACTAATAATGCTAACATGGGGAAGAGTTCATTAATGAAATCTGCATTAACAAAACGACAACTGCAGCAGAATGAAGAGACACCATTGGAGACTATCCATCAAACAGGATGTCATGCCTGCAACATACACAACAACGCAGTGCCATGCAACTAACCTCAACAAAATCAGCTATTACAAACACAATCTCAACTTCAGAACACATATAACCCATTACAAAAAAACTACCACAAAATATCCAGACACTAACATTTTTTCAACAGAACAAATAGAAACAAAATGACAATCACAAATAAGGAAAAAATTAATAGTAAACTGCGACCTGGGAAAGCCAATAAACAAAATCAATTGAAATATCGACAAATACATCAACAGTTACATCAATTACAACATCAGCAACAATAGAATAACCAATCTCAACATCAACAACACACGGCAACATAAACAAACAACGTCAACAACTGCAGCACAAAAACAGTAACAACAAACAATGATGAGTTCGACTGCGAAATTGGCTGAAGGCAGAGAAAAAAAATTATACAAAGGGCTACATTACTTGGAGAATAATGTAAGGATGATGCTGTAAGTGAATTGACGTAAGGATGATGATGTGGTGAATTGATGTAAGGACGATGTAAGTGAATTGATGTAAGGATGACGTAAGCGAATTCGTGTAAGGATGACGTAAGTGAATTGATGTAAGGATGATGAAAGTGAATTTTCTTTCCCACTGGACGTCACATGCAATCACTTTAAAGAGGGTGTGAAAAGGATTATTTCGTATCTTTGTGCGCCCATCTGACAAGAAACGCTGCTACTACTACTACTACTACTACTACTATTACTACTACTACTTCTACTACTGTTATTACTACTACTATTACTACTATTACTTCTACTACTGTTACCACTACTACTACTACTACCACTACTGTAACTACTACTACTACTACTACTACTACTACTTCTACTACTACCACTACTACTACTACTACCACCACCACTACTACTACTACTACTACTACTACTACTACTACTACATCTACTACTACTACTCAGTGGTGGTTAACTATAGGAGGTGGCCGCATCGCGCGCCGTAGTTTAGGGGCGATAAAATGATAAATTACATAAATATATAAATATTGTGATAACCGCAGAACTGATAGAATTGCACCATATGACTAATTTCAATTAATTACTATTATCTTGATTATTTGTTATCATCGTTATCTTTGCTATATTTGTAAATTTGGATTGTGAGAATATCTGTTATATTAGCGAGTAGAACGCTAGTTTTTAGCGGCGAGGTTTGAAGCGAAGTCGTGAATTTGATTTATGTAGTTACACGGATTAGTTTTGTGTTTCTATTACAATAGGCATTCGACTAAACGTTCAACTAAGTTTGCGTTTGAAGCAGTTGTGTTCATCTATCGGAAATCTTGAACCCACTGAATAATGAACACTTGACGATTGTTGGATGCTACAACACTGGTGTTGAAAATATAGAGATATTTGAAATAATAACATTGGTGTCTGTAGTTACGAGCGTCAAAGTGTTACAACAATATATATTTAATAAACAATAATTGATTTAACCGTTTAAAACTTGATGTAACTTTTTGATGCAATCGTTGAAAATTCATTTTTACATCATTTCAGAAGTTCTTTTGCGACAACGCTTTTAACGGATTTGTAAATTTTAAAAAATGAATTGAAAACAGCATCATCCATTGACAACGAAAAACAAAAAGAGGTAAAATTAGCACAGAGGGTAAAATTAAACTGGCCATTTTATTTAGATACGTTGCCGTTACTTTCTTAGTCGCTTTCATGCTGGTACTACCAAAGAGAAATTGGGAATTACAGTTATTTTTCCACAAGTTTCGCGCGCTATGATAATGATAATGCAGTCGCAAAAGCTGAAAAATTGTCAGAACTGGGTGGCTTGATGTCTTAGCGGTAAAGATCGCCTCATACAGTTTCGTGTAGTGCAGGCAGTGACAAAAAAACTTGCCAAGCCTATCATACACTTCCTTTGTGAAGCGTCGTTTATCATGTATTTATATACGCTGTTTGTGTGTTGTTGATTTTTCTGAACCTAGGAAGAGTGTAATAGAACTTTTACCTTTAAAGTTAAAGGCAGCAGTAGTCAAAAATTGTTTGTATTTTATTTGTAAATTATTTTCGTTTAGAGAGCTACATATGTTGTTCTGCTGGGTTTTATTCAGTTCACATTCACAGCTGCCTTAAATGGAGCAAGAGTATTCATTAATTTTGTCAGTTCAACTATTTTTTGCCAATTATTTTGCTAAACTTTTGATAACCTATTGTTTTGTTCTATACAGAATTTATTATTTAAGTACATCGTTTAAATAAAGAATACCCAATCTTCCAAAAGTATACCCTCAATAACTATCAATGCACTCACCGAACGATATTGAAATATTCTTGTTTAATATATCTACTCTGTATTCTATGAAATATAAAACAAATTACAAACTACAAATTATATATTTGTCATTCATCACTCAGGTCTAATTTACTGTTATTTAATATTTGTAATTTTATGTTAAAGCTTCATATAGAATACCATGAGATCAAATTTCTTCTATTGTATTCAGTCCTATTTATGACTACTAAAACAACATCTGACGCTTATATGCAATAAACAAACATTTTAACTTAACTTCATACGCTCAGCACCATGTTTAAAGAGCCAAGTTGTAAAAAAATTTAGCCAAGAGTTGTGAAATAACACAAATTTGCACGGTTGTCATCTGAAGTGAAGCGCCACGTAAACTCTGTTTATCTGCACATAGCGATCGAACGCACACACGTCTGATCTGTGTTGCAGTTGGATGTTCTCTAGTTAATTTATTTCAGGGACAGTTTGCTGGTAAAATGGTTCTTTCGTTGTGCAAAATGACTTTCAGGTATTCAGCTGCTGCAAATAAATAATTACAATAATAACATGGTACAATAGAATTGACAGAAATAATTTTATTAATGTGGTTGGGACTTCTTAGCTTAGTTTGCTAAATTTAAAATTTTAGACTTGTTTACTGTTTACTCTAAAATGTAAAATCTAACTAAACTAGATCTCTAAAAAAATAAGCAAACGTTCGTTTAACAAACGTTCCCTAATTCCTAGCCTAACGGTTAGGGCCTAACCTTGACCTTGACACCAACCAACTCACAATTATTACTAAATATATATATAAACTTGAAATTATTTAATATTTCATATAAAAATATTTATTTAATATTTAATTTACCATGCTTTTAATTTTATTTTTCAAAAATAGGTCGAAATTTAAATTAAACATTTGCTGATGAGTTTGCTGGTGAACATTTGCTAGCTTTAGAAGTAATTTTAGCTGGTTATAAATATATATAATATATATATATATAGCTGTTAGTGTTTCATCATCTTCATAACCAGCCAGCTTAATAATTAATAAAACAGGCTGGTTGTTGTGTGTGTGCTGGTCCCATCTTTCACTGAACTTAAATTTGGAAGGTTGGTAAATATTTGTTGATTCATTATTTTATTTTTGTTACAATACCAGAGTTTTTTAATTTTTTTTTATAATATTATATAATTTTTATCTAAATTTATTTCTAAATGTTGTAATAAATAAGCCAAATAACACGTTTAGTGCTAGCATCATAAGACTCTACTAATCTAATTAACATAACTTTTTAAAATGACTTTAAATTAAACTTTAAAAAAATTTAAATTAAATTTGAATTGAATCAGTTTGCTGTTTTCTTTAAAATTTGTATTAAATTAATTGAAATTTGTTTATAATGCTTATAATTTAATTTGTTATTTATTATGATTTATAATGATTTTCTTGTTTCAAACATAAAAATTTACATAAACTGGAATTTTAAAATATTCAATATGTAGGCGGATAAAGCACAAAGTTTTAAAAATCAAAAGTTTCAGTTAGTAACAAACTTCAACTCAGCAACAAATGGCTAACAAGGTAGCAGTTGTAGTGTGGGAATACGAGGAAGCAACAAATGATTTGTGGATTATTTTTGAAGCAAAAATTTCAAACTTCATCGAACAACACTTCATTAACCTTACTAATAACAAGCACAACTTGCCTCTTACCTTGAATGTTTTAGGAGCCATCTCCTTTCAACAGGCATCTGTCGACTTCTCCAACATGACATTTACTTGTGCCACTAGCAGTGCAGCACAGAGTATGTTGAAAATTATTTAAAACTCTTTTTTTCATGACTTTTTAGTTTCAGAATTTTATTTGACACATTCCATTAAACTTAGATAAAAGTAATTGTTGTATTTCATGGTTGCATTTAATTTTTAAAATTTAACTAAATTTACCAGAGACACGTGCTATAAAACGAAGCTTCTACACGACAGACAGTATGGTCGGGCAGGGCGTGATGTGGCAGTGGTCAGGGGATGTGGCAAACGAATGGTTCAATTATAACTCCAGCGTTCTCTGTGCTATTGAGAAAGCTTTCAAAGCTTCTGCTCTTTTCATCGACCTCAGTGAGCACCACCCAAAACAGCCTTACGTCGTCGACTTTAAATCGATGGCTCAACTGAGGAAGGATACAGGTTATGTTAGGCCAATCAGGAGGCTGGTGGATCAGGTGAAGTTCTGTAAAATCATTCCAATGCTTGATTGCTCAACATCAACCTTGTCATCTAAATCTAGTGCTGGCAACTGCAGTCATTGTTCATCAAATGTTAACATGCCTGGTAACAATTTTTCTAATCAGATGTCATCATCATCATCTTTTTCATCACCATCATGTCCTTCATCATCAATGCCAGTAAATAACCAGTCTTCTTGTGCTTCCAGCATCGACTGCAAAAACATCTACGGCTACAACAATGATAGCAACAACAACATCTACAACATTAACAACTGCAGTCTCAATACTGGGTGTGTAACTTCATTTTTACTTACATATCATTTAGGCTATCAAAGTTGGTATAGTGGTGTGAATCGAATCACCTATTTAGCTGAGTCCCAGTTCGATTCCCTTTCATTAAGCTACATTATTATATTGTTATAACCAACCCCTTAAACTTGTAGGGTATGGTTATTTCTCTCTACGTGGATTCTTGACTTCTGAACAGTCTTATTTCAGATGAACTTTATCAGAAAAAAAACAGTGCTGGCAATCACTTGTGTGTATTGCTCTGATCTATCACTCGTTTATTCAATCGTTAAAATTGTTAGAATGCAGCATAACTAATCAACAGGTAAATCACAGAATAAAACCAATCGTCAAAAATTAAGCTTCTCTCATCAGATGTTTCTCGGCCGTAAATCCTTAGTATTTGCTTCTCGGAAGATTATTGTAATTCACTCGCAGACTTTGTGTAGAATTTTTCATGATAAACTTTTCCTCAGACGTTATCGCTAATTTGCTTGCAGTACGTACAAAAAATATCTCTGCGATACTAGGACTCTTTTTCTGCTTGAAACTTCTTCTGACCTCATCTTAATTCTTGTTCTTCTTTTCTTCATGTTTCCTCCTTGTGTTGTGTCTCCTGAATGTTTTTATAACTACCAATCTGCTTGTAAATGTGTCACATGCCGTGTGACATGTATTTACAACCATTTTAATTACTTACACCTTCTTGTAATTATTTTACAAGCGGTTCATGCATTTTCTAACTATTAGTTCTTATCTCGATTTCACGTCTGTAACATTTCCCGCCACTGAGACCAAAAATCGTCCTCGGTCAATTTCCTCGTCTTTGGCCAAATCAAAAATCTGGTCAATTTTCCTTGCTGCGTTGATTTTCAGGTTCTGGGTAGGAGGCTAGCCAATTTAGATGTACGATCTTCATTTTGATCTGATGCTTACCTCATTCTTGCACCCGATGCACCACGTCATTGATTCAGGTGGCGACTTGGCATGGCCCTTCCCAATCCTTCCACTAGTCTACTGCAGGTATTCGACTTATGATTAGTTGAAGGTCATCAGTTTGTGCGCTCTGTTCATCAATGTACTCATCCATCAATTTTGAGTCGTTCTTCGGTTCTTCAATTTTATCTTGCAGTTCATTCGGTCTATCTCGACTTATTTTCAAACTTTTTTAATGATATGGTGAAATTACTGTTTTTCCTTTCCTTCCGTCTTTACTTGTCATGTTCTTGTTCTTTCATCTCATTTGTATGCACCTGTTTCGGTCTTTCAATATCTTTATGTTCCTGTTGATGACTTCGACCTTCACCCTTGAGAATATTTTTGTCTGTTGTTACTTCATTAAGATCTTTTTCAAGTCTGTCCAGTCTGTCCAATCTATCTTTGTTTAACCTTTCGTCATCTGAATCATTTGATTTTGTAAATTCATTCAACTCATTCTTTTCGTCAGTCAATCTGCTGATTACTTCCCAATCGTCATCAGGATTGTTGTCATCATCTTCCTCTTCATCAACGTGATGACTACCTTTCTGCACGTCAACACGTGCATCATAGTTGTCACGTGCATCGCAGATACCATGTGCATCACAGTTTAAACGTGCTTTGCCGATATCACCTTCGCCGATATCACGTGATATCGGCGTATATATTCCGTCGGTAAATATGCTGGAAGAATAATTTCCGACTTTTGTGTAGCCGTTTCTGGTATAGTCTCTTCGTTTGGAGGTATCCCCTCAAAGGTTGATCGTATTATTTCATCGGCCGCTCGAAATTCGGCTTTAATTTCTCTTATTTCGGCTATCCGTTGATCGCAATTTCTAGCTATTAGTTCTTATCTCGATCTCACGTCTGTAACATTATCTTCATTTTGTAATTATTTTGAGAAACCTTAATATATTTTTATTATCTTTGACATCTTTGTGGTTAATGTGTGTGTGTGTGTCTGAGAGTGTATTTTCATCCCACCGTATTTTATTTTATTTCATTTATTTATTTTTATTATTTTTAAAATACAATGGAAGCTTTTCATTTGCTGGAGGCATAGAAACGTCAGTTCGCGCCTCTCTATTTTCTAATATTTAAGTTATGAGCGTTCTTGGTAGTGATATAAGAGCAATTTAACTAATGGAGAAATATGCCATTTAATGCTATGATTGTCCTATGTGTTGTTAACATTATGAAATAGGATTGAATACAAATTATGGAATGGCTGTAATTTATTCTGCAGATGTGTATATGTGTGTTATTCGTGTGTGTATGTATGTGTGTGTGAGTGTGTGTGTGTGAGTGTGTGTGTGTGTGTGTGTGTGTAATGAAATATTGTTAAAATTCTTTATAGGTATTTGTCATTCGTTAATTATTGATAACTTACCGGCAAGATTTTGCAATTTTAATAATTTTTTTTCAGATCAACATTGGACTACCTATTTGCTTCATCGTGTTTTAAAGGCAAGAAGAGATCAAGTAAACAATTATTACCATATCATCAACACCATCTTCATTATTTATCATTAATGTTATCATCACCGTATTTATCATTCCAATCATAATCACTGCTATCATAGTATCATCCTTATCAGCGTCATCATTGTCATTATTGTTCTTAATCAATTCCATTATGCCATCATCATTTTTAGATAGCATGGAAATGCTTGAAAGTTCTTTTAATGGTTTTGTTGATGTAATGTGATATGTGAATCAGATTGAATGAATGTTCTGCTTTAAATACATTCCATGCCATGCCATCTGTTTGTTAGGCACACTCAAGTGTTCATGTTTTTCTTATTTTTCAACATTTTATTTTGGTTGTTTGCCAACTAAGTTAAGATTTTCTAATAGTCTTGTATTTGTTATTTTTGTTTATGTTATCAAAAATTTTGTCTCAGTTCCCTTTAAATTTCTTTTCTTTTTGTTTGCAATAATGTTCATCTTATAATAATTTACTATGCAGCTACGATATGATTGTACATTAGAAATTTAGGTCAAATTATTTTTTAAGTAATTAATGATCTATGTTATGACTTAAATTACAAATCTCTTCATTTGATATGACTTCATTTACAAATCCTTAATCCTTACAATTAATATGACCTAATTTATTAATTTTTATAATCAGTATGACCTAATTTACTAATCCTAACAATTGTTATGTCCTTAAAAAATCTTTACAATCAATCTGACCTAGTTTATAAATAAATTTGTATAATTCAGAAACAGACGCTCCTCAGTTGTCTTCAAAACGAACGAATTTCAAGCCTCCTGTCGACATTGACAAGAAGTTTACCATCGACAGCAACAACATAAACAGCATGACCAACAACAATATTAGCAACAACACTAACGTCAACGATAGCATCAATAATAATGCTGTCACTACCAACAACAACCATTTCAATAGTAACTCAATTAATAATCTTCAAACTCACTCTAGCGCATTCAACAACAACAACAACGGCTGCAACAACCTTTATAACAGCAACACTAACAACATCAACAACTCCAGCAATATCAAAACTAACAACACTCCTAATAGAACTATCCTCTCATTAAATGTCAACAATTTACCTCTAATCTGTTTCAACAAAAACATTGCCAAGCAGAGCAACAACAACATGTTGACGAGCAACAACATCAAAAACAACAGCAACATTATTAATGATATTGCAAATGTCAGCAGTAATATAGGTAATAATAATAGTAGTAGTAATAATGGTAGTATTAATAACATTATTAACCAAAACGCAAATAACTGCAATACTCTCTGTTTTCCACCGTCTTTAGCACCAATTGGTTATATTTCAACATCATCACCAGTTGTCACTCCTATATCTTTCCTCTTTCCACACCAACGTCAACTCTCAATGTTTAAACGTGCTAATCGACGACTTAGTTACATGGATCACGTTTGCAACAGTATCTTCAACAGCATCAACCGTTACAACAACATTAAAAAAATCAACATTGTCGCCGACAACATCAGCGGCAATACCGGTAGCAACAACAACAATGCTAGAAACGTTAACAATATCAATCACAGAAACTTTAGCAGCAATAACAACAACATCAACAATATTGGTCTCAACAGTAACAACAACTTCATTGATAGTCTCTGCAATATCAATAGCATTAATAAAATCTGTAGCAACGTTAATGACGACAACAATGGTACCGACGTCAATCAGTCGGTTGATCCCAACAGTTTTGAATATTTATTGAAACAAGATTTCATATTCCCTGTCAAAGTGATTCCAAATGAGGTGATTGCTACTGTTAGTTACACCATTTCGTGTTAGGCTGGTAAAAAGCTATGTAAACTGAATGGCTGATATGGTAGATGACTTGCTATATGCTGCACGATTTAATTAAGGTTTATTAGATTCAGTGCATGTAATGTGTTTGTTTAATATCAATCTTGATGTGATATATAAGGAGTAATAGTCATGAAGAGGGTTTCAAGTTTCTTATAGAGTTCTAAGAATTTTATTGAAAGTTTTCTATGCTTATCTGTTAGATTAGTAACTTAGAAGTTATCTGCTAGCATAGAGAATGACTGTTTTCAAGGATAAATTACACATACACACATATGCATGATAATGGTGATTGTGCTATTATCTCTGAAACACTCCTATTTAAATTAGTTATTACTAACTCATTAGCATATGTGAATGTTTCATGGCAGCCTGGCTTACCAAAGAATTGATCACGTTCATTTGCAATTATTTCATTAATTGTTTTTAAAATATTATTATAAATAACAATTATTAAATTATAATTGTAGACATGTTGCATATGTTGCGATAGCCTGCAAAATGAGTCATCCTATGCAAATGAGACGCAAAAACATCATGAACAGCAACAATCCTGGTCTGTTGTCTTCTTGGACAAATGTCGCCACCATTTTCACTTGCTTTGCTTGAAGGCAATGTACGAAGCTGGAACTAAGGTTGGATAGACTTATGATTATAAACAATTTGCCATTTGAAGATATGATATGATAATTGAATGGTTTGAGAATGATGTTGATTAAACTGGAAAGCAAGATTTCTTTTCAGTGGGATTTTTGATAACACTTCATATGGTACGCCACAGCATCTACTTGATGATGTGTGATGAAATTTTGTTGAGAATTTCAAGAAATAAGAAAATTAGTTGGGTAAATAAATTGGAAGCGTGATTAAATTATTGAATGAGGGTTAAGTAAATCAATAAAAATGTTGACTAGGTAAATCTATGAACGCTGAATCGCGTTAAATGTGGATGCATTAATTCACTAATAAATTGTTTGGGTGAATTTCAGTTTCAGTGTTTCCCAACCTTTTTCAGTGTTGGCCTCCCTATAAAAGAATTAGTGGTAACTACTTGGTCTCCCCAGACCCAGTCGTCAATGATTGAAAAATAAATCAATTTGTTATAACAATTATTATTCAGATTTAATTAATATTACACATTACATTGCGTTGTTCGTATTTATTATGATTATGTTAAGTTCGTAAACATATTACATAAAATGTTATTGAGGCTTCACGAGATGATTGCTGCTGTTTTCCATCACAGAAAAGATGAAATTGAGGTTCAGTACTAGAAAGAGATAGCCTCATATCATTCGAGGCATCCAATCTATTTCTATCTTTGGTCTTCATAGATACTAATATAGAGAATCCTTTTTCACATAAAGAGATGGTCGAGAACGGAATCAGAGCTGCCATGAATGACTTTTTTAAATAAATTTTGAGTTAACAAAATGAGCGAATCATAAACGAATTATGTGCTAATAGATAAAATACGGAAAGACTCAATGCAAAAACAGTTTCCATATAATATTCGAAAAAATTGTTTTTAACACGATCAAATTTCGGTGATTTGTATTTTATGAAATAATTTATAAAATACATGCAAATAGAAGACCTTAGTTGGCCTCCCCTAAAACATCATTTGGCCTCCCCTGTTCTATTTGCTTAAAATTCAATCAATCTTCGTTTTACGTCCAGAGACCCGGTTTCCCGAGGTAGGACGTTGTTTTCTTTGCCATCAACTTTTTGCGCCAAATTAGACGATCAGTTGTATCCATTTCATTTAAATTTGCTTAAAATTAATTTTTTAATATTTTAATTTCCCAAAGCATGGGAGCCTGCAGTGCCCACACTGCAAGCACATATACGGTGTCAAGGTCGGCAACTGTCCCGCCGGTCGGATGGTGTGCGTCACCATTCCTCAATCTCTCCCCGGCTATGAACAGTATGATACTTTGTACATCACCTACAACATCTTGTCTGGCGTTCAGGTTCATTTGTTGATTTTTTTTTCTTCATTAGTAAAGTATTTAATACTCGCTTATCTCATTTTACGAATACTTTTTTATACTCTTTGCAATGCAGCTCCGTCGAAAGCAGAGCTGCTTACATGCTATTCTCTTTACTTGTAATCAAACTATCCACACCACACGACGCACATACACATTGTGCATGCCTGCGCAAGCACCTCATCATACGCGTATGATAGATAGTCTTTGAGTTTCGGACGGGCATTGTTTGAACTATGACATCACATTAATAGCAGCACGGGACATGGCACTTTTACTGCCTGAGTTGACCATACTATGTTTGCGATATTACGATGTACATACAATATTTAATTGTTTCATGTATTGCAACAACTTGATGGATGTATTTCAATTCTATGCACACTGATTCAGGAACCAGGGCATCCAAATCCTGGCAAAAAATACTCAGCTCGAGGTTTTCCAAGATGTGGTTACTTGCCAAACAACAAAAAAGGACAAAAGGTAAAAACACATTAGACTTGACATCAACATTAACTAGTTAAACATTAGTTACCTTCTTTCTAGATTTGTCAATGAATTTTACTCGTGCTAGATATAATCTCATAAAAATGATTTAATTAGGTGTTGCGACTGTTAGTAAAGGCCTGGAATCGTCGACTAACCTTCACGATTGGAACATCTGTCACCACAGGAGAATCGAACACGGTCGTCTGGAATGAAATCCACCACAAAACTGAAATGCTGAACAAACACGGGCACGGCTATCCCGATGCAAATTATCTTGATAACGTCATTTCTGAATTGGCCGCTCAAGGGGTGATCGACGACAATGCTGACGACGACGATGCTGACGACGACGATGCTTTTTTGAATGACTGATACTGTTCAAATCCAGTTATTTTGGTATTGTTATTTAGTAAATAAATGTTTTAGAACGATCTTGAAAAACATTTTGACGACCCATCATGTTATTCTGTATTTTGCCATTCAAAGGATGCCCTTGTAATCATGCAAATATTTATTTACAGTTCATTTTTCCAAGTGATTAGAATGTTTTGTGTGATTTTTTCTGTAATAGGCGTTTTTAATGATTTACTCGTTTGCATAAATTTATTTAATTTATTTCACTTCAGTAAAAATAACGATTTTTTAAATTACTATCTATCTTAAATGAATATGTGTGTATGTATTTATATGTCGGCCCAGCGGTTTTTTTTTAAATTATTCTTTAAAAATCAGGATCTGACAGACGCAGCAACTGTTACAGCATGCAAGGCAGTAGTACAAAATTAAATAAGTAGATAAATAAAAAAACGGAGAAAGAAAAATGTTTAAACATGAAAAATAAAATAAATAATAATAATAAAATAAATAAAAGAAAAGAAAATTAATTGACAATAAAAAGAAGTAACGGCATAAAAACGCAAATTGATAGACTAGATGTTGACTTAGTGAGGTGATCGATAAACAGGACCCCAAGTTTAAATGCATACCGGGCCCTTCATGTATACAAACACACACACACATATATATATATATATATATATATAACTACATCATACATATAACTATATTATATACATACATATATATATTATATTATATTAAGCGCTTTAAAGAAATTTCATTTTATAAAGAGCATGTATAAACTTCTCCGCTCGATATAGCACAAGTTGTAGTTAAAACTATTTTCATGCGGGTCGAGTTTATCGTGAATTTGCTTCCATGAATGTCTGTTGCCACTAAATCCTTCTGGACATGCTAACATGGACCTATTTAGCAAAAGCAATTTACTAAATATGCGGCATGGAAGACAATAAATTGCATTTCTGCCAAGCCAACCAATTTCTTTTTACCTCTTCTCCACTTTTCAATTTATAAATATAAGCGCTGATGGAGGAAAAGAGTTTCCTTCAAAGTCTTTTGGAAAGTTTTTAGGTGAGGTTGGTGGACCGTTAATGACGGTTTCACGATCGTCCTTGGTTTGAAAAAATGTGTTTTCTTGTTTGCCTATGTCTTACTCTAAGAGTGTTGATTTGTTGTAGTTTTTGGCTTCCTTTGCTTTCTTCCGCAGATAATTTTTCACCTTCATCAACATCAAACGTTACAATTTGAGGGAAAACAACAGTAGCAGATTCTTCCAATGTAGCTATATTTTCAATTTTTTCAAGTTCCGATTCAAGTGAAAATTCGAATTTGACCGATTAATCATAAAAATAAACTGTAACATGTTTTCTGGTTTTTCTTTGCCAACGTCTCTTGTTTTTCTTTTTCCTTTCTTTTTGAATGTACTACTTGCCGTTTACGCTTGTGTTTCACATAACGATGACAAATTTAGATGAGGTTTGCCTAAAATAAGAGATCCTAAATTCATATAAAAGTAATTTTTCTATATTCAAATATCCGGCGTCAATCAGCATAAAATTATTAACTCGCTTGAATATCTATGGTTTTTATTCTTTGTAACAAAAGTTAATTGAACTTCCCAGTAAACATCGATTGCCCGTGGCTGTGACTTTCCTTTTTATCGTTAATAAGTTTTTGTCGTAAATTGATTGTTGGAGCAATGGCGAACTTAACTAGCGAACAACAGATGAAATTATTGTCAGACGTGGAGATGGAGATGATGGCCGACATGTACAACAGAATGATGAACGCATGTCAAAAAAAATGTGTTCCCCCAAAATACAAAGAGTCTGACCTGAGTAAAGGTGAATTTTTTTATCATTTTTGAAAATTACATTTTTATTACGTAAATAGAAAATAATGAGGCACGATCTGTTCTACGTTTGCCTCCAATAAATTACACCACACTCAAATTAATAAAAGAATAATTAAAACTTTCAAGAGAATCAATAATCAATAATAAATAGTAAATAATAATTTTAACTACATTAATAAAATAAACTACATTAAATTAAAATAACACTAAATAAATAGAATTAAATCTATATAAATAATTTAACTTCTAGTTATCAGCAAAATTTTAGATTGTGGGTAATCCAAAAAATGATAAGCCAAGGGTTAAAAATTAATCTAGGTAAATTTTACGTCATTTACTCCCTTTCTCTCTTCTAACCAATTCTTGTCTTGTAGTATAATGTTATAACATAATATAATAATATAAAATAAATAAATGATGTTTAAAAGCACAATTTTTAATTTTTCTTGTCTTGTAAAATATTATATAATATTTAAAGTATTCATTATATTATATTATAACAAGACAAGAACGGGTTATGTGGAGCGACTAAATGAATTAAAATCTACCTAGATTTATTTTTAACTATTTGCTTACCATTTTTCTGATTAACAAATATAGATCTAAGATTTTGCCACAGTTATTCGCGTGTAGTAAACTGGACATTGTTATTGTCAACTATTGTGATTCAATTAATTAAATTTTGATCGAAGTTTAAATAACTTTTTTCAATGTCTCCTCAACATTTAAAAGGGTAATTAGAGGGTAATCACAAAATTAAAAATTAAAGGGTAATCACAAAAGTCTATTATTTTTTAAAATATTTACTTGAAAAATTTTCCTTTATTGATGTATTTTAGCCTGTCAGGCTTTTAATTTTTTCACATTTATTTTGGAAAAATAAATAAGATAATAAATGCATAAACATACCCTTTAATTTAGAAGGTAAAGGCTTTCCACCAAAAAGCAAAATATTACTTAAATAATAACAGCAAGAATACCAGCAGGAAAGGTTATCTGCATCCACTTTTAATATAATATATTAGATTATTAAAACAATAAATTCTAGTCATGAAAAATAAAGCAAAGCAAATTAGAAATAGAGCATAGTGAAGTCCCAACCTTAGTTCGAATTTAATTTAACTCATAAGTTCCTATAAATCTGTGCCATGCAGAACCTTTCACAAATATCTGTCCATTTCTTAACTTTACATTTTGAACAAAAAGAAAGATAGTGATGATTAAAAAAAAGCAGCCACTTATAATACAATAATAAAATGCAAAAATGATTTAGTGAGAATGGAAAAAATCTTTTTTTTATTTTTATAATTTTTCTAACTCTATGAAATTATTTAAGTAAATTCTAAAAATTAATAATAACATTACAATGCATTCATTCCTAATGTTATATTAACTATTTGATTTGTATTTCTAGACTAATGTTCTCAATATTAACTCATTTTAAAATTATTTTACGATAAAAATAACTAGCTTAAATTTTTCAGGTGAGGCGGTATGCTTAGACAGATGTGTCGCCAAATATCTTGAAGTACATGAACGAATAGGAAAAAAATTAACTAGTCTTTCTATTCAAGACAATGAAAATGCTCAGAAAATGCAATCAACTGCATTAAAATTTAAATGATTTAAACTTTGTTGCATGTTGTACTTTAGAAGTGTTAATTTTTCAGATATTATTTCTAATAGGCTAATTTATTTTGTGAAAAATAATATGTGAAAATGCTTATGTCTTTTGAAGTAATGTAAAACGTAGCCAGACACTTAGAAAATAAAGTAATTGATAATAACACTTTAACCCATAAACCATGTTAGGTTAAGTTAGCTTAAAATGATAGCAACAACACATATTATTCAATTTATCTACAATATGTACAGATTTATAAACAAAAATTAATAAAATCTACAAAACATAAACTTATCTGCACAGCTCTTAAATATAATAAGTCATTTTCGTGAGATTGATATGAAAGACTAACTAAATTTTATAGAACAGCTCAAGTTATTACATTATATAATCAAGTGAAAAATAAGTCCAATCAAACAATATTCTGAGCTGAGTTAGCAAAAAAGCCATAGGACCTAGACCTGATCATTCTCATGTTATTGTCATAAGACTTTGTGTCTACAACATGCTCATCAGTGTCATTTGCGCTGACCGATATTGTTACTTGTCTTCTCGACTTTGCTGGCCACATGTACAAAGAGCAGCAGTACAATAATACCGTAAGTAACAGCAGCAGGCAGATGAAAATGATTATTGCGTTGGCAGGATATCTTGATTGTGTCGCTTTCTTGCTGAGTTTCTGTGATGCCTTCTCAATGTTCCTGTTGAAACATTGTTTGTTTGTAGTTTATGGCTAATTAGCATGAATTAGCCATAATTAAATTAAATTTATTTCAACTTGCGTAAATTAATTAGTTGTATTAGAATTTGAATATGGTAGTTGGTCAGATCGATCAATATAATGGGATCATGACAACTTATTATTATTACTAGTTTTATTGGCTCAGGCAAAGCCCCTTGCCAAACAAAAATTATAAAGGATTGGTGAGAAATCGAGAACGTTTCATTGAATTTGCAGATAAGCACTGACCTGAGAGGAAACAACTTGGTCTTGTGCAACAGTGCCCCGAGTGACCAATGAATCTCATAGTTGTCAATGTACTGAATGGACGTGAGGTGGCGATACATGTGTGGGAAGTTCAAGCCGTCGTGCAGCACTGACAACATCCATGCAGATTTGAAACACTGGAGTCTGTAAATATGCCGGCATCCTTTTTATATAAATCTTTGTATGCTGTGTGATCTCATTTTATTTGATGTTATGCTGAAATATCTTTTAACCTGTATCTCTGAGAATCAGCTCTTGGATGTTTAGATAATTTCTTCCATTCTTCTACTGTCAGCCAGTTTGTTTGGCAATATTCCTGCAGTGAACACATCACATTTCGGTGAATTGAGATAAAAAAGGTAAAACAAAAATATGTGAATAAGAACAAACCTTGGCTTTCTGTAAGTAATGGTGATAAATGTAGGGGCCTCCAATCTGCAGGATGTCTTGCATTGTGTAGAAAAACTCAGAGAACCCAAAAAACTCTGTCATACTAAATAAAGCATCATGAAAGTTTCTTTCAAAACACGAAATTTTTATGACTGTAATTTAAAAAAATAAATGACTAATCCACAATAGAATGTGTTAAATGCAAACTGTAGGCCACTTGTAAAAAAATCATTTGCAAGATAATTAATTTGCAATATTTACTAATGACCGTGATGATACACCACATTAAATGAGAATATTTGATTAAACATGAAACAATTAGACATTTACATAAGAAGGCAAAATGAGTGACCGCTACTCAACACACCCATAATTGATATCAGGTAGTACAGCCCCATCTATTGAACATCTTCGCTTGTTGAGTAGGAAGCAATCCTTGGATTTATTGAGAAGACTTTTTAAGTAATGAACGCATAATGTTAAATCTCCAGTGCCATTTAGTTTGTAGTTTGTGTTGTTGTGTGAGATTATTTCTGAGTAGGACAACGACAAACATGGATCATTAATATCCAGTGTTGTACTGGTTGATAACGCAGATGATGATGTGGATGATGATGAGGTTGATGTCTGTGAGAAGGAAGATGAATCGGTGATATTTGATGTGAGATTGATGTTTGGTGGTGAAGGTATGGATTGTGACACTTTCAGTGAATCAGCTGTCATCTTGTTCTTCTCATGATTCATTGTTGAGCTGTTCAAAGTTTATTGTTGTTTAGAGCTGTTCACTTTAATTGATAATGTCATAAAACTTCAGGGATGTGTCAATTGAATCTGATTATTATCATAATAATTTACATCAGTAATTGTAAATCTCCAATCATAAACTAAGTAGTGAGTTTTGGGATTGTCTGATTTGTTTCTCACAGAGATGAGTTAATCAATTTGATATTTTATAAAATACCCAATTATAACTGTCAGCAATAAATAATGAAAAAGCAGTGAGTTTTACAAATTAATATATTCAAAAACTGCTTTTTATTTGACTAGAATTTAAATTAATTTAGGTTAATCTGTTTTCAATTAATGTCAATAATGTTTTATAATAATGAAGATGCATTGGTAGATGTTTGGAAAATTAAAAAAATAATCTATCTGATGAAGATACAGCAACATGTAGAAACAAAATTGACTGACACGTTGTTCTTGAAGTGATTGACTAGCCACTGACTGTACCTCTGTCTCCCTTCATTGCTACCATAACCAAGAAAAGTTCTCGAGTAAATCTTGTAAATGTGACTTGAATCTGAAGAAGTACATCCAAGATTGAATTCAACAACGTGTTCTTTGATCTTTTTAATAACAAAATTTAAAAAATAATTTTAAGCCAATTGAAAAAATTTTTGTTTGCCTATCTTGAACATAAAAATGACATTGAACAAATTTTCAAAAAGCAATGATTTACATTTTAACCTTAGAGTCAATGTAGGAATGTGTTTGTGGGATTTCAAAAGTCATTTGTAAAGATGCCCCTCCCAGATCAAGCATGCCCACTGTCCTTTTCCTGATGTGCACCTTGTTGCCCACATCGACAGCCACCAACGAGTCATCTGAATATGATAAAATCTGTTAGTTAATTGAACAATCACTATACAGACAGACTAAAAATTTAAGCAAATTTGAAACTCACCACTTAATTTATGGTTGAATTTTCCAAAAACATGGTTGACAGCAGTCCACCCATAGATGCCTTCCCATTTACCTGATATAACTTCTATGTGGGCTGGAGAAAACAAAAAGTCAAAGTCCAAACCAATATCGGTTCTTAGATCATTTAAGAGGGCAGTTTGTTCTCTGGAGAAAAACAAAATTTTTATAAATATATCTGACCATCATTTTATTAATAAATTCATAGCTGAAATATTTTAAATGTTGATGATCTAACTAGAAATAGAATAATAGTGTATTTACTCTTTAGGTAAAAGTCTCATTCCAGCTGTGGCAAGAATGTAGAGAGGTGTTTCTTTTATCTTTTCAACTGGAATATGATCCTGAGCAAATTTCAATAAAGGAGCTATGTAATCACTGGCTTGTGAAGGAGTTTTTGAATAAGAAGATAACCCTAAATTTTAATAAAGTAATTATAAATATATAAATAAATTATAAAAAAATTGAATAAAAATTTATAAAATAACTTGCCAGGTTCAATTTTTGATACAACTGTTTTGTTGTTGGTATCTTTTAGTATTTTTATATCCAGCAACTGGTTTGGTTCGCCAGTGTGCTGTTGCCAGTAATAAACAAATAACCTACTGCCACTACTCCCACAATCAATGACAACACCATAATTTAGACTGGAATCAACTGCTTCATCTTCATCTTCATGGTGGTTGTTGTTATAATTGGTGGAACTGAATGCCCCTGGTGTTTTGTTGTTGGTGTTAGAGGGGCTATCATAATGATTTCTTACTTCTTCTAGCCAGCCAGGAAGGTACATAAGTACGTAGAAACCAAATAAACAAGCAACAAAAACCACAAGGAAGCACACCTTCAACAATAGGTGTGACTTGCATTTGCGCCACGGTATAAAACTTTTCATGACATATTGTCCTTTGAAACTACTCGTCGTACTCAATATAATTTGATTAATTTTATTATATCAATATCAATAAATTCTACAAACTTTATTGATTATGATTTATTTGAGGTAATTAATAAATAAAAAATTACAGACGAACAAAATTAAATCATTTAAAAAATTAAAAACACTATCCGTGAAGATGGCCCGGATATACCGACCATGTATATATACATCCATGATACCGACCGATAGATTGAAATATTAACTTATATATTACACATATTACATTATTATTACAATACGTTACATCGAAGGAGGGCTAACTAAAGCCCGCCAAACCATTTTATGTGGCCCTTCAAGACCGATACAACCCTCAACGCGGCCCTCAAGAAAAGTTTTGCTAACCTCTGCTTTATATTGCTTGTTTGTTAGATTATATTACATTACTTACCTGCAATGTTAGTTACTTGCAATGCTAATCATTTCTAATGCTAATCAATGCTAATCAATCGATCGATCGATCGATCAATCAATCAACCAATCAATTAGTTGTAAAGCGCTATTCCTGGGACGTTTAACACCGTTCCTCAGTGAATTTCTCACAACCACATATGTTTCTATTAAGTATTATTATTACTATGTATTATTATTTGATAATAATTTGAGGAGTTTTAATCAACATTAACAACGGATATAACAATAATAACATGCTTGAAGTTTAGTAGATTTATTATTTGAAATATTCAACTATATAATTTGAAATAATAAAATGCCATAAATATTAAGCGTAATAAAGATTTAGCAAATTATTCCCAACGAAAATTTGACATCATCTGACGATAATCAACATGTTCTATCCGTTCAAAAGGGAGGCCTAGTAGCCTTGATATTGATCTGAAGTATCTCTGAATTATCTTAATTATTTTGTGAGACAGTTACTTCTAAAGTGCCAAAGTGCCACGTCTCGGCACGGTTGCAATTACCATATTCGAACAAATGAACATGACTTGCTCTCACTCATTCGGTGCCCACTAGCTTCAAGTCAAATTTACTAGTTTAATTTTTCGTCTATCAACCAGCGTAATGATGAACCACTTCGTATAGTAGTTTTTATTGTAAAAATTTAATTAATTGTTATTAATGTTTGTCTACAAATGTACATCTATTCTTAATTACACAAACAAATTAAATAAGCAGTCAAAATTAGCATAAAAACGTTTCAGCAAATTTTTAAAGTTAACAAATGAAAAACGATCAAACCAAATAACTTTTAATGAATATGGACAATTATAAAATAGCTATTGAGTTAGTCACAATCGTGAAATACAGCCGTTGTGGATCAACCAAACTGGATTAAAACTTACTTTAAGTAAAAAGCGTTGTACATTTGTATGGCGATTAGTTACACGAATAAATCATTGTTAATTGTTTCAAACATCATTAAAACAAATAATGACAGTACAAAAATTTAGCTCGAAAAGAGGAACTTACAATCTAAACAGTTGCGTTAAAAATTTTCACGAATAGTCGTCTCACTAATAAAATGACCATAGCAAGTTTGTTAGTACGGCGATTAATTATTATTGAAATGGAAATGATTACGAAGAAAGGGCGGTGAGGTTGAAAATTGTTTCATTAACGTTGGATCCAGGTGGGTTTATCATGAAGGATTTAAATGAGTTTGTGTCGTACAGGATGCCTGTGGGACGTTCAAAAACTTCTTCAGTTTCATAAATAAATGTGAAAATCGTAATTTATTTAAAAACACTTCTCAACCTTCTCAAATACTTTAAAAAGAATGACCTGCAATGCAAGCTGTTAGAAAGCCTGCAATGTTTCCATTGAGCATGGCCCGAAAAGCGACTTCAGAGATGTCGTCCTTTCTTTTCGGTGCCACGGTTGTTAGGGCTCCTATGTACATTCCCATGGCTGCCACACTGCCGAAACCACAACAAGCGTATGTAGCCAGCACTTTCGACCGATCCTACAAGTTTGTGGAAAGCATTCATTAGTGCTATCTAAAATCCATCTTACATCATATCCATCATACACTAATTATTTTTTTACTCCTACCTTTATTTCATTATTTTTTGTCATCTTGACAAGTGCGTTGAACGAAATGTATTCGTCTACGAAAACTTTCGTACCCAAGAGACTGCCAACTTTCCCAGCATCTTCGATTTCAACTCCCATTATTACAGCTAAGGGCCAAAAGATCACTGCACAAATTGCCTGTTGACATAAAGTGTTTAAGCAGATACACAACATAAACAATGAAAGTGTTTAAGCAGATACACAACATAAACAATGAAAGATTAACACTACACCAATACACAATTTACCCCTGAACCCAAGCATTTCATTATGTGTGCATGTGTGTGTGTGTGTGTGTGTGTGTGTGTGTGTGTGTGTGTGTGTGTGTGTGTGTGTGTGTGTGTGTGTTTATGCATCTTAAACAACAGTACAATAATGTTATTGAACGTACTTCGAATGAAAATCCTTCCACTCCAACCAGCGATCCAAGATATTTCAAAACGGTATTGAGGAATTCAATGAGACCGATGATAGCAATCAAGTTCGTGGCCACAGACGCCACAACTTTGATTGCGCTGATTGCTCCGTTCGATGCTGCTTGTATAATATTTCTTTCCGTTCTGAATATTCAAATTTTTACAGATGTGATGGTACAAAATTTTTTATGTTATGAATGAATGAATGTTGTTTTGCCAATTCAATGGAATCGTTGCATTAATTCTTGATTGAATTAACCTTTTTCAGTTTTTAAGAATTTTTTATTACCATTTTAAAAAAAATTGTTCTAAAATTATTCCAAGGTTAACCATGTTAACAAACAACTACAAACTTCTTTCACCAACTTACGCTTTTTCCATCTGCACGTCGCCTTCCGTCTTTGTGCGAGAAACTTCAACTTCCGGGTAACTGAGTTTTGCCATGGCGAGAGCAGCGGGAGCTGACATGATTGCGGCTGACACCAGATGCTCTGGAGGGGCCTGCAATTAATTTCTAAAAAGTTGTTGTTTGTTTAAATTTATCGTAAGAATTAGCAAGCATTTTTCATGGTTTTGATACGATATAGCAGAAAATTTTCACGTCGTTTCCATTTCAAACGATATGCGTTCGAACGCAACGGAACATGATGATACGCTAGCCTTAAATAGCGAAATTAAAATTGAAAGCATGAAGCGTTCAAACTCTAAGACAAAACACGGGGTTCGGTTTTATAAACGGTTTTTAAAAATTGATTTTATAATTTGACATTTTTGTTTATAACAAGAAATGTTCATATTTTATATTATTTCGCAAATTTTCTCAAACATTTAAGACTAACATGAGATAGAAACATTTAAGCCGACTGCACTTAGCACATTACAACAAGTTCAAGTTGTTTTTTGAGATCAAAAAGCTCAAGTGCCGTTAATACGATTCGACAGGTGTCAAATAAGTCTCATATATTGATTGACATATGATGCGGTTTGGAAAGCGATGCATAAATGAAAATATTTAAAATATTTTGAAATAATTTATATTTCTGCGTTTCTTTTATTCAGTTTTGCATTGATATTTCAGTGATTGTCTGATGCTGCATTAAGGTGTGACAAACACTCCATTTAATTTTTTCCCTAATTAAAAAATTTAGACTTAAACTTAACATCTTATTTAAAAAATTTCATGCCCTACTAAATTTAACGTGAAGAAAACGAAAAAAAACCGCGAGAATAAAGTTGGCAAATGAAGTTAGAAGATTCAAGAAATGTTGATATTTTATATTATTTTGCAAATTTCTTCGAATTCGAACACAGATTGTGGCGTGTGCTCTTCTTAGAAATGTTTGCAAATCTCGATATTCACTTTACGAAAAAAATTTGTCTTTCTTTTATTTTAAAACTTTGACATTATCATAATGTTTGCGTTTAGTTAAAACAAAAATTTTATTTATGAAATTCGTTTGTTTAGAAGTTATAAAATGAAAGACAAAATTGTTTTCATCTGCTTCTATTTTCTGATGTTAGCTGTTTTTATACCATTTTTGTTTCGTCTTTCAAAGCTTAATGGTGAAGTTTCAGATTAAGCTAAAAAGATCTAAAATTATAAATCGAAATGAACATAAATGTAAAAAAAATCTTGAATGGAGCACTCACGCCAACTTGCACGAGAAGTGCAATGTAGGAACCAGCCACGGTGGCGAACCCTCCCGTCATAACGGCATGCAGTTCAGATCTGGTAAGTTTGTATAGGAAGGGTCTCATTATCACGCACGATTCGGCCTGGAGGTTCAAATTAGCTTATGTAATCGATTAGTTGCAACACATTTTACACAGTTTTCTACATGATAAAGTCGTACACCATAACAAAACAAACTCGTGTAAAAAATTTCATCTATCATCATAATTCAAAAGTTTTAAAAGAGTATTAATAACAATAGCAAAGTAACAGCTGGCTAAAACTAAGCCACCAGCGCGAATTATGTTATTAGCAATAAAAGTAAGAGAAATGAAATCAACATTTAAAGACTAACCATCCCTATGAAAATGTTGCAGGCGGCATTCAGTGATTCAATGGCAGTGGTGCCCATGGTGAACTGCATGAGCCAGGCTATTTTGCAGACGACAAACTGCATCACACCCCAATAGTAAAAAATGTTGATGACTGCACTGAAGTAGATAACAATTGGAAACACCTGATTATTTGAATATTCAAACAGATTTATATCCAGCAGTTCGTATCCAAATCCATATTTGATTGGTTGATTTTATTCATGCCTATGGTTTGGTTGTGTGACTATGCTATGATCATGATGAATGAGCGGGGAAACATTTTTTAAAAATCTGATTCCGTAGTTCTACTTTTCGAAATGTCTCGGTTTTATTTATAATTTATTATTAAAAATGTCAGCAAAAATTTTAAAAATTATTTTCATTTTCAAGAATTTTTGATAGCATTTATTATTCTTATTGTTTTATTATTATTACTATGAGTATTTGTATTCCGCTCTTCTTAGCATCTCAAAAGCGCAATTAATTTCCATCGTCTCAAAACACTTTAACGAAAAGGAGAAACCAACCTGGAAAGCCATCGGATGGTCTTCAATTCCTTTCTCTCCAAAAACAAATTTCGATCCGAAATCGGCAAATTCAAGAAACGCTCGGACTTGATCTCCTAGGTATTTGAAGAAGTTGAACCCAGGAGTCCACCTGAGAATGAGAACCGCCAACGTCAGTTGCAGGCCAAGTCCCCAAATCACGGGACGCCATTTTACCTTTTGAAAACAAATTCATGTCGGATTTATATAATATAAAATCTATACTTATATTTTGGCTACACTAACAATACTAATATCATTAATAAGAATGTACCTTGAGTCGGATTTAAGAATAGATTTTAGACACGCATCATTGTCGAATATATCACGCTTAGATATAAATTATAATTTTATACCACAGACACACGCACCACATAGACCCCACAAATCACACGTACACGTTAGCCTAAGCTTATTAATATTGACAGTGTGGTTGTCAGGAAAGTAATATTTTGCCAAAATAAATTACTTTATATTGTTCTTTTCAATTTAATTTTGTCACTAGGTTCAAACTGTTTTCCAATCAAGAGTTTCATATTTTTGTGCGAGCGCGCTGTTTACAAAGTATGTTCACGTGATGTTCCACACCATGGCAACCATTCAAATATTGTCTTTTTGATTTTGTTCAAAAACTATTATAAAATTTTTCAAACGAAACTTTCTCCGTTATAAAAAGATAGAACAAAAAATGCAACTGTTCAAGAATCAGACTCAACATCGTAACCACTATCGCCATATTTTTTCGCATTCAAGTCACAATCACCACACCACCACCACCATCATCATCATCATTATGTAAAAACCAAACAAACAGGTAATTTTAGTAATTTTAAATTTCTTAAAATTGCATGACTCAGTGAACGGAACATTTCCGCAAACCATCTCCCTACATCCAAACTTGCCCTACATCCAATCGAGCTGCTTATTAGTTTCAAATCTTTCATGCTGACGCTCAATGATGATAAAATTAGTGCTCCTGAAATAATTGCTTTCTTTTTTAACTCAGTCTAACCAAACATTTGTGATCATAATAGCAGTTCAGTATTCAGTAATCAAAATTCAGTTGCATGTGACTCTAACGTGACCAAATTTTGATTGGTATCTAAGTTTCCGCCACGATGCTCTTTATTATTTCTACTATTTTGAATATTTATAGGGATTATTTGATGAGAGTTCACAAATGTGATTCAAAAAAGACTTAATCTGATGCTCATGCACTTAAGCGGTGGGCGTGCTGGCTAGTTTAAGTTACAAAACAAATTGCCTACAATAAGGAAGAGTGCTTTCACTACAAAATGTTTTCTTTTAATTTCGCGTGTGAAAATGATGAAATTTAAAAAAATTATCTGTGAAGTTTAACGTTGGAACACTTTTTTGAGAATCTAAATTTACGATTAAAAATTATGAGAATGCAAACAGATCACCCTGAAACATAAAACTCTAGAGGTTGGAGATTTGGATTGTTTAAATGTTCTTATTGTGGTTTCTTGATCGACCAAAATGTGTCTTTTTCAGTTTTCATAATAAAACCCACTAATTTTTGAACAGAAAAGACAAGAAGCAAACCGAGTTTGCCAACTTTTCCGTTCCACGTTTAATTAACGTCCTCAAAAGAATGCATTCATTTTTTTGTATGTAACAAGATATATTATTCCATTCTCCTAAAGAAATTATTCAAGAAAATTCAATCGTTAATGTAAAATATCGGCATAATCTGTTTGTTTCAATGGAGTTTTGCAGATATATTGATTGAAAAATATTTTAAAATCGCACAAGCATTGCAAATATTAGAAGTAAGAACAATGGTCGTTGATAAATGGTAAAAAATTAAATAACAACTTCACCAATTAACATGTTATAATTACATAGAACATTTTTAATTGAAAAATCACGTGATAACTAACTAAATAATTGACAACACTAGCTGTTCAGTGAATACGATTTTCTTATTATCAATCACATATTTGAGATAATTATTATTATTTCTTTATTATTGCCATTATTATTTTATGATTACCGTGATTGTTGTTGTTGTTGCTTTCGTTGTTGTTACTATTCACACATACGCGATAAAAGCAATAAAAGGGCTAAAAAAATCACGTAGGCAAAAACTGATTAATGACGAATCGTTGACGTCATCGTAGTTTATTATCGTTATTGTTATTATTATTAGTAGTAGTAGTAGTATTGGTATTATAAATGATTGATTAAGAACAGTAATAATAATATGAAAAGCTGGAAATAGTTTACTAAACGATGATAGTAATTATTAATTAATGACAAAAACAGTCTCAATTGTCTTAATTAGTTAACGAAAAATTATGAATAATGTAATTAATTTCATCCATCCTATCATGCATGACAATTTAGAAATATACAAAATAAAAATAATATTAAATATAATAATAAAAATAACTAGATAATAATAATAATAATTAATAATATAAACAACAATGATAATGATAATAAAAACAGTAGTTTTGAAATTAAAATTATCGTTGCATGTTAATGTGAATGATGTGATAGATATTTCTTTCTAAGCAAAAGATTTTATGGCTTCTCAATTAATTTTTCCTGTTTCATCTTCTCAAACGCGTGGTCGGCGTAGTTTTCTTTCTGAGTCTCTTTCCCATGCCTTTCATGTCGGATTATCGCAGTTTCAAATTTTAAAATTCTTCAAATATACAAATTATGAAATAACGTCGTAAAAGTTGAAACGCAATAAGAGCAATTCTATACATTATATTAAAAGTGATGTTGTTAAACCAAGTGAAATTTATTTGGCCAAAATTAAATAAATTAGAAAGATATAAATACCAAAGAATATGATTCAATTTTGACACAAACAGACTGTATGTTTTGACGGCCAAGTTATTGAAAATGAATTTTTCAAGTCAGTAAAATGTCGAAAATGCTTGACTGCAGCTGTGTGGCGCGTGTGACGCGTCGCCACTAGAAACCACAGAAACTCAAATGTCGAATTAAATACACGTCGATAAGCGATGATACATTCCAGAATAAAAAGATTTGTTCAATTTGTTATATAGCGCCGGAAAATGCAAACTTTTGGTCACTGACTATGCAAGCAATCACAGGCACTCTAAGTACTTAATTCCGAGATTGATCCAGGCAATTGCGATTCCACTGAACAGTCATAATGCCATCTCATCTATCAGAGATGCTATCTCGTCATTCCGCGCGGCGAGTCAGCGCTTTCATTATTGTAACAGCATCGAGGCAAATTTGAATCAAACATTTTCATTTGATTGTGCACCCCTGAGCTTATTTATTGGTTTATGTTAATTGCTTGCCGGTTGGTTTTTTGCATGATTCATCACCAGGCGTGGATATATTTACTGAGCCAGTATTATGCCATTTTTGAAATATTTATGAGAAAATATAATTTGATTTTTTTCGAGATATTTGGTGAACGGAAATTAAGTTTGTTACCTGATGCACTACTGCTTGTAAACAAACTAGCCGTCATGCGCCGTCCTAATTCTAATTAAGTTTCACATTTCCTTTTTATTTTTTTTTAATTTAGTGAACTTTACAAAAAGTTTCATATAGACGAGTACGACGTTGTAACTTTGTCGTCACTAACATTTTGCTAAAAATTGAATTCAATAGTAATTTTTGATCTTATTCTTCAATTTATTTCTTCAAAAAGTTAAGTATGAAAAATAAGGTAAATATTGTGTACCAGTGTCCAGTGCATCAAGAAAATAAACTAAAACAAGGTGAATAAAAAATTAGAAACGAACCTTGGAGGGATACTTAGATGTGATGAACCCGAGAAAAAGAAAGGTGACCATGCCTCCCAACGATGTTAAGCGTTTCGTGTCAAAGCCGATGTCAATGATGATGAAAGCGAGCACAGTTAAAATGACGATGGCGTACAAAGCCCTTGTGACGTGTAATTGGGTTTACATAAATTCAGTCATACAACTTTCTGATGTTATTAAAAAAATTAAACTAATCAAAAAAGAAACGAACAAAACTTTTATCGAGCCAACATACCAATTAACGTAGATGCATCCTTTGCGTTTGGACAACTTTCTCAGTGGACTGCAAATTACTGCGTCGAGTTTCTTGCCGAAAACACGTGAAATAAAAAGCAAAACAATGATGATGCACGCGATGATGGTTATTCCAATGAGAGATGATATTCCTGGCTTGCTCAACCAGAGAGCGTATGCGAAATATGCAATGTAGCCAAGAACGAACACGACGATGAAGAATCGTTTGAAAAAACGTTTGTGTGTTTTAAAAAAGTCAAAAATTCCTCGATGAATTTTTCCAACAAATTTGGAGCAGCCTGTGTCTTCTGTTGCATACTCGTCCGATTCAAGTTTCAATTTGGCAGCTTCAAACTCTTCCAGCGATATGGCTTTCTCGACTTCTATTGAATCGTGCATTTCGTCGGCTTTTTTGTTTTCAAAGACGGTGATGTTGTTTGTTAAACTGTTGCTTTTTTGTTTCCTTTTGTAGGCGGCATGTGTGTCACTGGCGTTGTCGAAAGATGCTAAGTTTTCAGAGCTCGAGATTTCCATATTTTTAATGACGAAAGCATTTTGTAGAGACTCCTTGTCCACCATCATGTGTTCCTCATCTGTGTTATCGTCCATTTTTCTGCACGACACAACGACCACTTCTTGATTGTTAATGGCTGCCACGACTTCTTTCGCTTTCGATTTTTTACTTCCAGAATCTCGACGACATTTCTTGGAAAATTTTTCTTTTATACTTTTTTCCATTTTTCAAAATTTTAAATCGAAACCAGCTAAGAAGAAAATTTTATTATTTTATTTCAAGTCACAAATGATGAACTTTTATATTAAATTTTAAGCAAAAATCAGTTCACCCATAGAGACAGTAGACATTTACGACGATAGCATGGCCATAGAAAACTAAAAATATGAGCAACTCGACACAGGCATATGTATGTGCCAGCATGTATGTATTATATATATTTGAAAATATTCTAATGAGCAAAGAAAATCGGTGCGTTTATCAAGCTTTTCTTAGTAATAGAGCTGCTAGCAACTCTTAACATTTAATGATTCTTTAACAAGGTTAAAACAATATGCACGATTCCCTTTCAATTTGATACAACATTTAATTATTTAATGTTAAGCGACAATTTAGATGTTAAATACAATTTTAAATTTTAAGGACTTTTGGAAAACTAAGTTAGTTACTTGTAGAGTTATTTATATAAATTCTGTGAGAAACATCAAAGTTTAAGCAATGATAATTTTTTTACATTTGAAAGTTATGATGCTCCATTATATGTACCTAATATAAGATAAAATAAGATAAAATGTAACTTAAACTTTTCTCTGCAAACCCTATCTGCCGAATGTTGCTTGTTTATATACCATGGTCAAGTGCACACTAGATGAGTGACCACGTCCAACGTGAATCAGATTAGCAATCCATATAACTAATATAAAGGTGACCTAATTATTGCACTAATGACCTATATAACTAAATGTGATGATCAACTTGAAATAGACTACTAGAGTGATGATAATTTATGCGAATCATAGTAATGGCGGATAGCATGTTAGCGTCCATATTCTTTAATTAGTCTATAATTATTTGAGTTGATGTATAATTAACGTGATGAAAACCTAAAAATAATTAATGCAATGGTGACCCATCTAACTTTAAAAATGATGACCTAATTAACTAATTTAATGTTGACCTAAATAAATAATGTAATAACCTAAGGTGATATCTAAATAATTAACGTAGTTAATGGTGGTCTTTGTATTTAAGTAATACAATAATATATTATAATTAATGTAATGTTATAATCAATGTAATGTTGACCTATGTAATGTGACCTAAATGATTTGAGCAATAATAACCCACTTAAATTAGTAATTAACAACTTAATTACTTAAAGATTGTTTCCTACTGAGTTAAGCTTGCTATTTTACAATTTAAAAAAGTTAATTTTTCATAATTTTTTTCTTGCTTAAAAGGTTTGAAATGACTTCTTTTTGTTGTAAAAAGTTATTTGCTATGCTGTTATTTAATTATTAAATAATTAAAAGTTTTTTAAAGGGAGTTTGTCAGACGTTCAAACCAGTTAAACATATGCCGATATGGGAGTAATGAACTAACTTGTTAGTTTTTGCTTCAATTCGTTTCAAAGATAATCACTTTTCCACATGTACGTAAGTTATTACGACACAAAAATCAAAATAAATCTTTCCATTTTAACATAAATCTAATTTTTTCAGGTAACAAACAAAAACATTGGCCATTACACGATGTATCATTTGTTTACTGTCATCTCAACCGATCAGTTAAAACCTCTATTTACTACACATATGTGAAGTGTATGGCTGTACGCAAATATAACACGTGTGAAGTTTGTTTTAATCAATGTAGTTGTCAATTTAGTTTCACATTAGTTTCAAATCTGTTTATAAGAGCAAGGAAATAATCGCAAGCAATAAAAATAACGACGACAATCAATTGATAACTGATGATTAAATTTTGCTCTAGAAATTTTTTTAACTGTGTGAGAATTTGTCTGAGAATGGTTATTTCGTAAGAGGAGTGAATAAATGACTTTTCTGTTTTTTTTTTGTTAGGTTTGATAATTTTCATTTTATGCGTTTTTACTCAAAAAAATGTCAAAGTTTTCATCCGAATATATTTTTTCTGCATAACTGAAAATACGACTATGTAATACTTAACTTCGATGTTGTTAAAAATTCTTCAACATTCCAGAATTTCATTCTAGTCTAAAATTTTGAAAACGGTTTAGATTATTTAGAATGATTGTTTTTTGCAAACATCTGAAGCTTGTTGTTTGGCTAACTAAATACATTTCCCCTTTTAACAATTATAGATTCTTAATTGTTTTTCGGTGTGATCATTTTTAGGAAACTCGTTTTGAAAAACGCAGGTTAAAGAGATTTGATTTTATGCTTGTTGTTTGTTCCATTAAAATTTGAATTGTTGAAAATAATTAGCGATCGAAATTCGAAAATTTATCGAATGATCTGAAGTAGTGTTTGAGTGAATATGTTTTACATGGTAATAATTAGCGTCGACTCAAATTGATACAAATGACGCATTTGTTTTTAAATCGTCCAATAGGATTTTTACTAAACGTTAACCTACAATTATATAGAAATGAATTACTTAGCAATAGTCTGGTGGTATCGATTTTAAGGCAACGGACTGGAACCCGCTACCTAATGATATTCTTCTCCATTCTTTAAATTATAAACATATGATCTACATGTACGTTCTACAAACATGTAACGTCTTGAATTAGAATTTGATTTTAGTTTAACTTGTTTGATTTCGTTTTACATTATGCAATTATGCTTTGTATGATTTATATCTTCCAACAAGCTTAGGTTTTGGCTTTGAATGAAATTAAAACAGATAAAAATAAGTTTCAATTGATGGTTTAATTTTATTGGAAGTATCATTGTTGATGCCATGAATAGATTTGGTCTGCTGCTTGATTGAATTTGCTGCCTGTCTTGAAATTTTTATCATACTTTGAAGTTTTGATCATAATTATCATACTTAAACCTCATTTGTTTTGAAATAAAATAATGATTTCTTATGTATTTGAGTGGTATTTTTCTCGATAATGCTTTGTTGTGGTTGAAGTACATTTTTTACTACATTTCAGCACAGTCAAGCCTCTGTACTTAGCATCTTTTTACTTTTTTAATTTATTTTTCTATATAACTAAGATTGATGATGTTTTAGTTATATTTTGTTGATCAATTCAATTTTCGTGAAGAGTTTTAATAGATTTTCGATGCTGGTCCGTTTGTGGAATATTCCTTGCATATTTACTGGGATATTGCATTCTGACCTCTGTTGACTATGATGCATGAAAGCTTACGGTGATGATCAGTTTATTTATCCATAAAAATTTAATGGTGACTTCATTTTGAAATGATGACGAATTCATTCACATAGAATAAAACTCATCCATTGTAATAATATTTCATGGAGTAAATCGCAAGTCAACTTTTAAAATTAAGTTAGATTCACTTTTCATTTTGTTTATTGTTGAGAATTTAGAAAACCTTTAACTTTTATTTGCTGTGTTGGTTATTTAATTAATGACTTGTTAAAATAAAGTAGAATTTACTTGTTTTTTTTTATAAATTCTGCTTTATAAAATTAAAATTTATTATTTATGCATGATATATGTTAAAATTTTCCTACTCGGTGCTTATATAAAAAATTAAAAGAAGACTGTATGATCATATAATTATGTAATCGTAATGTATGTATGTTAAGTTAAAAGTGTATGATCATATAATTATGTAATCGTAATGTATGTATGTTAAGTTAAAAGTGTTAACAATTAAGTATATATTTATTTATAATATATAACTAAAATTAAAGTAAAGTGTAAATAAGTAATAACTTTCAATGATTAATTTGTTTGTATGGTTTATTTTAATTAACTAAAAAATGAAGTTTTCGGCAAATCTTGGTTTCTTGTATACTAGAGAATCAGAATCATTGATTGAAAGATATTCTTTAGCTAAGGCTGATGGGTTTTTTGGTGTTGAAACGCCAAATCCATACTGTGTTGATGTCAGAGATTTACAGATGAAATTAAATTGTTTAGGACTTCATCAAGTTGCTATTAATTCACATCAAGGCGGCACAGAAGAAATTGGTTTGGCCTGCTTGCCTGACAAATGTCAGGATTTTAGAGAATATCTAGAACTTAGTATTAATTATGCAAAGGCACTAGACTGCAAGAAAATTCATATCTTATCTGGACTGGTTAAAAATAAACAAATTCCTTTTGATGACTATGAAAGAATGTACATTTCTAACATAAAACACTCAGTAGAAAGATTGTTGAAAGAGGATATTATGTGCCTTATTGAACCTATTAACAACAGATCAGTACCTTGCTATTTCTTAGATAATTTTAACTTAGCCAAAAAAGTTTTAAAATTAATTGAATGTCCCAACTTGAAGTTGCAGTTTGATTTCTTTCATGCTCAAATCATTAATGGTGATCTGACTCAGCTTTTCAAATCTGTGGAGAAACATATTGGCCATATACAAATAGCTCAAGTACCTGACAGAGGACACCCAGGCACGATGGGTGAAATAAATTATGATTACATTCTAGAGTTTGTAAAGCACCGCAAGTATGATGGTTGGATTGGCCTAGAATATAAATCACATGATGAATCAACAAATTCCACTTTTAAATGGATGCAAAACTGGACTTCTTGAATTAAATATTTGTTTATATTTTTTTGATATAATTTTTTGAACACTAAATTTTTGTTTGGTTGAAAATAAACATAAAATCAATAATTGGTCACCTATGTACAAGCGTTAAATACATAAATTTCGTTAAAACGTTTTTCGATTAGGCAGTTCGAATTTCAGGTTTTAAATTACAAAAAATGAGTACGTTGAAAATATTCACAATCATTGTTGGTTGGTCATCATGTACAGAAATTCTGAAATATATATTGAATTGAATATTAACATTAGTTTGTCATGCTATTACAAACTAATGATACCTTCGTAGTCTATCTTTCCGTCGTTATTTCTGTCAGCCATCTTCATCATTCGCTTCACTTCTCGATCAGACAAATTCTCACCGAGTTTGCTCATTGTTATTTTAAGTTCTCTCGCATCAATGTAACCGTTTCCATCTATATCGAATACTTGAAATGCGTGTCTTAATTCTTCCTGTTCGGCTTTTTCGAGGTTACTTTGATCTTCTGACTTTCCTGAATATGCTCCAGACATCATACGTAAGAACTCGTCGAAATCTACTGTACCATCACCTGCAGTGCAGAATCGTTATGATTATAAATTATTTTTAATTTCGAAAGTTCTTTTGAGAGTAAGCCTGTTAGAGGCTTAAATGTGCTACAAACCAATGGACAAACTCGCGCACTTCGTCGAAAACACGGAAGTAGTTTTGTGGTTCGCGACGCTGGGAGTCGTCGGTTAGACTTTACTCTTGAATTTCGATAAAAATATTGTACATAAAAGCAGAAGTTGGCATCTGTGCGATGCAATGAGCTGCCAAACAAAACTTTCATTTACAATTTTTTGAATAAAAATATTCACAAATCTTAATCTATTATTTTTTCATTTAAAACATTCTCGGAGTAATTTGACTTCAACTTCCAAAGTACAAAAACGGACCGTGTGCGAAAAAGAACGTCTAAACGTTGAATTGCAATTGACCCTATTATAAACCATTTCAAATCGACTGATCAATCAACCTTTCTAATCCCTTGAAGAATCGTTTAAATGGATTGTGCACAATTTGTTATATTTAAATTTTTTTGTCTTGATTAGTTAACGTTCCAACCTAGCCCATTTTGTTATAGTCAGTCGTATACTTTTGGAGGATCTATTATTTTGCGTGGCTCAGCATTTTCAATCTTTTTAAATTTTTGTTTTCTTGATTTTTGTTGCACATTACAAATGCGATGCGAGCAAACACTTTTAGCCTGCAAATATTAGTTATGAATCCCTCAAAAAATTTTAACACCGATGGCATAGCTAAGAAGAAAACTTTGCTTTGGCTGTAGTCCACGCAATGAATTTTTAGTATAGTTCATTAACTTGATTTTGGGATTGTTTCTCCACATCCATTTAATTTAATTTTTTTTTATGAAAGACTACATCATTTTTGGGGTATCATTTAACACCAAAAACTCAAAAATTATAAAAATAATTTAATGGTTTTAAATAACGGTATTTTTTAGTTTTGAAAAGTCGAAAGAAATGTAGTGTGAACTTGAATTGAAGATAAAGTTTTTGTTTTAAATTTTCCGTACTCAACAATTTGAACTTTAATTTAAACGTGTTATTATCTAAATATGAGAACCAAAAAGGGTGAACAGTAACCTTGAAAATAAAAGGTGATAAAATGGTCATTTATAAAATAATTTTTTTGCTGGAACCGCGTCGCTCTCAACCACCTGACAATTTTTTGAGCGGAAAATGAATGGAAATTATAAAAATAACTTTACTGTCATACTTATTTTAATTATTGTGAATTTTGAATAATGTGAAAGATTTGAGGTAAATCGACTATCATCAATAAACATAGGGAACCTGAAATTTCAAATGTTAACAAATCGGCTAATGACGAAGACAAAAAATATATCTACGACTACAGTAGAGAAATGAAAAACAAACATAAAATTGTTCTAAGACAATTGAAATGTTTTTACAGTTTATTATGGAGAAGTTTCAGCTGCCTTAATCAATATTTTTAGAAAATAGAACGATACACTACATCTGCAAAACAATTCATTATTTTTTCACAAAATTCCATGAAACATCAGACGCAAAACGGTTTTTATATTTGGCCTAGAATGAAGACGTGAAATATATCAGAGTGAGCTTATCAGATAGTTTCCGTTAAATATGTCTGTATACTGTATGTATTATAATATACTCTACAAGAAAGGCGTTAACAAATCAAACCATTCTTTTAAGCACAAATTATTTTTATTTCAAATTCCTATCTTACGTACTTGTTTGTGCTTGTATCGTTTGTTAGAATACTCAGACTTGTTTTTTAAGCTTACTAAAAACTTGCGTGAAATAGAAATAAGAAGCAATGAATAATGATGAATAAACTGAAGAATAACGAAAAATAAGAGTAATAACAAGAAATAAAGAAAAATAATCACCGTCCAGGTCTATCGAACTTATCATGTCTTTTGTCTCCTGATCCGTCGTATCGATCCTTAGGGCGTTCAAAACGGTCTTCAGCTCTCTGGATGTGATCGAGCCATCCTTGTCGGTGTCGAATAATTGAAATACCTCTTTCAGTTCTGCGGATCAACAAGTTTTTATCCAGTTTTTAATTTTCATTAATTGAAATAACTGTTTCAACGGCCAACAAATCCAAGTTTAATACATGTTGTAAACGTTCATTATAAACAATAGATGATAAAAATATTAGAAGTACACTCGTTGAAATGTTTACTCTAAAATATTTTTAATCTATAAAATGTAACTTGAAAAACCACTTCTTCGCTTCTAAAACTTTGCCTCAACTCTTCATATCATCGAAAAACACGCAATGCGCAATTTGTTGCGATTTAAAATTCTGTTCTGTCGCTCGCCATACCACTTTATTTATTTTCATTTATTCATTTCCTAACTACTGTATAGTTAAACAAAAACGAAAAATTTAGAATCTTGCAAACTTACCTTCTATATTTTTGGAGCTTAGATGGTCACTAACGGAAGGAAGTTGTAACATTTTCTGATATAAACGCGAATGTTTTTTGGTTTAAAAAGTTTTTGTTTAAAAAAATTTGTGTCAAATAAATTTATGCTATTAAACAATTTTTTCTGCATATGCCGATTTACATATTTATAATATTATTTACTTGATAAGATGTTAACAATGTTAAACTATAAAATAAATTGAATCTAAACAAATAAGAATAGAATGTTTTTTGTATTCCCTTGATAAAACGAGCAAGTCATCGGTGTGTTGCGTCAGGAAGTGCAGAATGAGTATTTCATCTTTCCTATTAATTCATTGAAATGTAGCGCCCTCATGCTTCGTTAGCTTAGCCTATTTAACATACAATGAAAAACTCTTACGATAAACAACATCGCACTTTTTACAAATGATGCTTTCCAACAGTAAGTATGTTCACTTGGATGTTCGTTCATGTTTCTACTGCTTCACTCAATAATAAATTGTATGCCGCACTTTACTTTTGTGTACGCTCGTTCCTTGGTTCATATGTATGTATGCATTTAGTAACGTGTATGTATGTGTATGTCTAGCTGTATGTTGGTTTAAAACAATGTTTAAGTGTATTATTGTACAATGTCTATATTGTACAATGTCTATAATGGTACTAAAGTGTTAATACAAAGATTTGTATTTGAATGTCTATGATGATAATACGATAAAATAATACAATACGATAATACGATATGATAATACGATAAAATGATAATACGAGGCTTAACATCATTGATTTCATTTGAAATCTAATGGTGAGTCATCGCCGTGTATCAGACAACACGAAACTAACCTATCATATTATTTTTTCTTTTTTTTTATCAGCGCGTTACACCACGAAGCAATTTTGTAGCAATCTGTTGTACCCGTATCAAAATTTCGTTTAAGAATCTGATGTATCAAAATTTCGATCAATAAAAAAAAGTATTCAAGGTTTTTAATATAGTTTGCTCTAATTACATTTTACTGAACTGATCACACCCTTTGCTTCTATAACATCAACAATATCAGAAACATTATCAAATGTATTGATTGTATGTGGCTTTATGTTTTTCTTTAATTAAGGTCGGTATCGATATGTGGTTATAATTGTTAGTTTTAAATATCTGTTCGAAATAAGCAGATGTTTTCAGGGAAGAGGTAATAAAACAAATTGATTGTTCAACACAGCGTCAACATGTCTGCATCATTTTTTTCACATATTTGCTTATTTTATTGCCTCTCGTGCCAAAACCAATGAATTGCTTGCTAAGAAATATTTTCAAAAATATTTAACTATTTTCTTTTCCAACTCTCTGAAACACTTGATATTTTTTTTATGCTTTTTAAAAAATCAACATGCGAACAAGTTTTGCAACATGCATTTACACGCACATAGAAATACACGCACACACACACACACACACCACACACACACAAACACACACACACATAAAAGAAAGTAGTAATGTGATTTTTTTGTTTGAGACTTCATATAATTGCTGTTGCTTGAGATACTTGCTAAGTAGCATTACGTTTTAGAAACTTACAAGTTAGCGAATATTAGCTGCTCTGTCGAAACGCATTAATTTTTTGTCGCACAGTTTAATTCCAGCAAATGTTTTATAAAATTAAAAAGCCAGGCAAGTTGCACAATTTTTTTTCACAGTCGAAATAACTTAGAAATAAAAGTTTGTGTTAAGGAATTTCATAAATTGATTTATATTCTTCATATTTAATATATATTTTAACTAACACATCACAGACCCACACCGAGTGCTAACCGAAATGCATTCTTTAAATGGCATGTTGCTTATAAAAGGAAGTATTTCAAGCATATAAGTATGGCCTACATAAAAATATCGGTACCCTCGGCTCTCCTGTTTTGACAATTTTGAGTTTGAAGGTTTTGTTAGAAGTGGTTAACCTTTATGTGGTTAATTAATTGAGACACTAAAATAGATTATTATTGCTTTGTAAAACCAATTTTCCCAAAATAAAAGCTTTTGTGAAAATAAAAGCTTTGAAAACAACCTCAAAATAATTTTTCAAATTCAAATAAAAATGATATTTTCATACGATACCGATTCCGATTATCAGTCCTAAATTATTTCTCGATCCTAAAATTTCCCGGTAATTTCCCAACATTTCATTGACTTTCCAAAGTTTCTTTATATGACCGATAATGTCTTGATAATTTCCAAGTATAATACATGTATGCTTTAAATATATGTGTGTATATATGCTTGATGCTGTAAGTATGTTTGTACATAGTATATTTACTGACGTTGATACATTGGGATGTGCAGATTACCTGTATTTTAGCGGTACATCGAGATTTAGCGATACATCAATATCATGAATTTTCCCCAGAAAATTTAGATTTTCTCAATGCTTTTTTTTCTCTTTTTGCCAATACCGATACATCGGAATTGTATTTTTATTTTCTCGATTTCGACCCTTGTTGAGAATGCATTGATCTAGTTAACTCTAAACTCATTAATCTGACGAACGACACGGTTTCACTTCAACCTTTTTTCCACCTCTAGAGATTTTGGTTAGAACTTGAATGAATAAAAACATCTACACACATTTAGTGGTTTATACAATTAAATTTACTGAAACATAACCATGATAGAATTATTTCAATTTGTTTTGTAAAATATTGTCGCTAAAAAATATGTGTAAAAACATCTATCTAATTCGGCTGTTCTCTACATCATCGAAACATTCTTAAAAAATATTCTTAAAGAAAAGAAATAATAATTGTTGTTAGTTATGCAAAAATGAGCATATTTAATTAGTTAGTGAGCATAATACGTCGAATCCATTTTATATGATGATAGATATTTGTGACGTAGCTGTTTTGGCACGACTCGGCTTTGTTGTTCACGTCGTACGCACTTGTAGCTGGAAACAAAGTAACTTGTAAACCATTGTTTCATTCTAAATATTCATTTTTATAAGCTATTCAACAAAAAAATTTGTTATTATTAGAAAAATTGTGCTAAATCAAAAATTTGGATTGGGCTAAATCAAAATTTTGGCCTTGGTTCAACATTAAATGACTCGCAGTAGGCAATGCGTTCTTATGTTCATGATGCTATCTCGACAATTTATGCAAGTTTTAAAAATGTTATTAAATGACTTTAAATAAATGTTGTCAAACATAATTATCTTATCTTTTTAATTCCGATTTAACGTACCTGTCACAAAACTGTGGACACCGTAAGCCGTCCATCGGTTTTCGTTACTCCCCTTGCAAACGAACGGGCCTCCACTATCTCCCTGAATATAAACGACGACTTGACAATTTACTGTAAAAGTATTACGATACATCAAGGAATGTTAGAAAACGCACGTCGCAGAGGTTTGGATTGCCAACGACACCTGGTCCCTTGTGCGAGCTGATACACATCACGCTGTCATCCATGCACGGTTCAGGTGACATTCGAATTTTAAGCAGGTTCATTGAAGCACCTTAGGTTATCGGTAAAAATAATGCTTACACTTTATTCATCACTATATGGTGAATCGAGACGGGATATTCATAAAACTGAATGTTTTGGCATAATCTAAAACTTACTTACTTTTTAGAGTGCTACCGAAGCCGCTACTGTAACAAAGTAGCTGAGGATTTATGGGAGGGTTTGTTTGAGGAAGACAAACTGGTTGAATGTATTTGGAATATTGTAAACTTTGACGTAACTTCACAAGGGCAATGTCGTTTACAGCCAGGTTACCACGTCTCGAGTAATTAGCATGAACGAACACTTGAGCAATCTTTCCAAATACCCAACTGTTGTCAATTTTAAAAACTGCTCCGAAACGAGAGATGCAGTCGGAAGGACCTATCCTAATTTTTCCAAAATAAATAAATTTTTATTTAAAACTGAAAATTTGACAGCATAGTAAAACAACGGGGCGCCGACATCATCATCATCATCATCATCATCATCATACATCTTCGTTCCGTATTGAATTGAAAATAACACCTCAAAGATTTTAAAAACAGTTTCGAATTTTGTTGACAGTGTGAAAAATTGGAAATTTTTGTGAAAATTGTTTGCTGAAAATCAATAAATAAAAACAAAGCTACTTATTCTTTATGCATTCAAAAATGTCACTATTTTGAAAACCAGCTAAAAGATAACCTACGCTGCTTTTCACGCTCATAGAAACAGGTCTAAAAAATATGAAACAAATGTAAAAATATAAAATAAATAAATTTATTTAGGTTCATCTATTTATAAGGAATAAGTCGATATGAATGAAGATAAGGATTACTGATGCATTTCATCCCTGACGCAGTGTGCAGCTGTTAGAAGCCACTTGCGATCGATGATCATTCCTCCACAGTTGAACGAGGCACACTTCAGAACCGCCTGCCACGGTAACTCGCCTTTCTTCGCATTCAGTCCGTAGATCACATAATTTTTATTGCCACCACCTTCTACGTACCGTTTGCCACAATCTGTGAGTCAGTTTGGATCACATTCATTTTTTTAAACTTGTGAAGCATCACAAATTTTGAAAAAAAATAACTTTGGAAGAAGTCATAACAATGTTTAAATTTACAATGACAAATAGAAAACGGCAATTATTTGCTCTGTTGAAAAGACTATGCAGGTCGCAGTTAGTGTTTTTCACAATAAAACTGATGACACAATTTAAGAACAACGATTTGATTCATATTATATTATGAACGTGTCGTTCTGATGTCGTAAATATAAAAAAATAAATATATAAATGGTAACAAGTGCACGTCGAAAGGATGACTCCTCACCAGATTTGATGCATTCCAAAACAACGAGGTCTGGACATCTATGAAATTGCATAAAATATTTGGTTAAACCTTCTCATAGATTTTTTGTGAATATTAATTAATTAATTAATTACTTTTCCACTTACACTGTTTTCGATATGTTGAAATGCCATTTTTTGTTTTGATATTCAACAACTACGGTCGGTTCATTTTTCAAGTTTGGAACTTTTTGCGATTTTAAACTTATTCTGATGAAATAGTTATTTAAACAAATATAAGTCAAAAACAATGGACTTTGAAGCAATAAATTCATTGATTGAAAACAAACTTGTTCTCGGCTCTGTAGCAGAATTCGTCGTTCCACGCTTCGTCCCATGCTTCGGCACAGATTGGAGTCGACTCACTTCCATTCACTCTTGTCATCAAGATGTCACTCTTCCCTATGAAAACTTTTTGTTTAGAAAAATCAACATTGAGCAAACAAAAGATGGAAGTTATTTTTGATTTGAAAAAATGTTCAAACAGCAGTTTTTCTCGTCTTCTCCATTCAGGCAATCATCTGTACCGTCGCATCTCTGCCAGTGTTGGATGCACAGCAACACTTGCCCGGAGCATCGGTAGAGACTCTTTGGACAAGAAACTTGATAAAATAATTTATTACATTTATTATTGTAGATATAATAAAATTATTTGTAAAGATTCAAATGTTTTTCATATGTTTGTATTCCAGTTCGATTAGACTACAAAATTTGTACAAATCAACCAGCATTATTTTAGTTTAAGCAAACTTTTGTAACTTTATTAATAAAGTCTGCACTGTTTTTTTAACTAACTGCTCATAACTTAATTTACATATAATATTATATTTTAATTAATTTCAATATTAAAATACAAATAGTTACATAAATTGTAAGAAATTGTATGCAAATTATAGAGGTGAAATATTCTTCGAACCACACGTCTTCTCCATCTCGTCATCTCCTTCCGTACAGTCCACGTTACTGTCACAGAGGTACTTTTTTGAAATACATCTTCCATTGTTGCATTGATATTCACTTTCTTTGCAGGCTTTACAATTTTCACAAACGATTAAATTTTTATCCATTCATTGCTACGTTAGTAATGCAATTACTACACAAAATGTGATGAAATTTAACCGTGCGTAAACAGCAACAATTTTCATACGACACTTAAGAGCAACAATTATTCTACTAACTACAGTTGGCCTCGTCCTTATCATCAGGACAATCTTGGTATCTGTCGCAAAGTTGCTTGTACGTCAAGCATTGCTTTTTGGCTGAGCAAAACATCGGCGTACCAATTGGACAGTCTAAAAAAAGTAGAGTAAATCAAGTTCTCATTTTCGTCATCGTAAAGAGGGATTAATTGAGAAAAATTACCGTTTAAAACCATGGCTTTGCTGTAAACTGAAAATAAAAGTAAAAGATTCATAGACAATGACGAATAAACAAATTGAGTTAGAAATCAATCAAACCGATATGAAAAACTTTAGAGAGTGGAGAAACTGTATAAGAAGCGACATACTGAATGATAATCGTAGCTGTTAAAACCGCGCAAACGCATGCGAGTATCCAGACGAATGCTAACATTCGGCGATGATAGAACTGCGATGTGTCGGTTACAGAGGTGCCCTGGGGATAGCAACTTAAATAAAAATCAAAATATGCAAGTTTCACGACTGCTAGATAAAATTTGAATCAGAATCAAGAGTACTAACATTAACGGTGTATCGCTTAGAAATGAACTGGCAATGCTTTGTCTCGGGGCACTGAACTGGCTTGCAATTCTTATGCTGTCTCTAATGTCTCTGCCATAGTAACTAGACTTTTTGTAATTAATTCTCCATATATCGGAATTTATTCTACTCGAATGGCGAAAGTCGCTAGTTTTTTTTTCCGACTCCATCATAAAAAAATGATTGTTTAACAACAAGTTTGCCTCCCTCGTGTTTTTTAAGTTTATTTTTGTTTTTATTTTTAAAAGACGTGAAAATGTGAAAAAAGTTGCATGTAGATAAATAAATTGACAGTTTACAACTGGTTGAAAAACAAAGTACACTTGGAAATTAAACATTTGGCGGATGATAGTTATAAAAAACTAGGCGATGTAATGGCGATGGAGATGTGATTTTTAAATATGATTTTGAATTCACGGGAATCATGAAATAATTTATTTCCCTCTGGTAAGATAAATATATTTGTTTTTTAAACGAAAAATCTATTGAAACATAATCATTCTCTATAAAGAATTGCAAAACAACAATAATAATACAAGTAAACAATTTGTATTAATGATCAGTTATTTTATCTTTAATCCAATTCATGTGGTAATATATATCGGTCACGAAACTGTTCTGACAGACCTCATATTTCAACAGCTTGTTGTACTTTTGGTTGGAAGCTTTGGCAAAAAAAATTAATTTTTCAATTAATTCAATCTCTTTTGTTAAGAATATTTGAGAATAAGAGTTAATTAAATAAATAATTATTAATGATAATTTGTAATTAAGAATTTAGAGTCAGTGAGAAGTTATACGTTTGACGTGACTGTGAACTCCAAACAAAGTCCACCTATCATCATTTTTATTCCTACAGGCGAACGGTCCTCCACTATCTCCCTGCAAACAAAAATAATGACAACCTGCTTTAATTTTAAAGATCATCTAATAGAAACAATGAACACATATCAAAGAACTCATGAATAAAAATTTTAAATCAATATTTAATAAAAATTAAAGATTAATGATAAATAATCTGACATCGCAAACGTTTTGGTCACCAATCCTACCCATGCCTTCGTAGGCGCTGATGCACATGAAGCCTGCAGCTGGTGGAGTGACGCAACGATTTGCAGTGGCGCGCATCTTCAACAGGTTCATTGATTTATCTTCAAAAAAAAAATCAAAAAAGTTACAAGTAAATTTGAAAAAGATTTTTATACGATCCGTGACTAAAAAACAAAAAATTAAAAATACCTTCGATAAAATACATTTATAATTTTAAAATTTACTTTTCAACGTGAACCCGAAGCCGCTACTCATGCAGATGGATTGGAAGGCGAAGATGGAATCGATGGGGGCGTGTGGGAGGCATATTGGCTGAACGAGATGGTTTAATGGGACTGGCCGATTCAATTTTATCAGTCCGATGTCGTTTCTAACTCCCGGTGGTTTGCTGTACTTTTCGTGAAAGATCAATTTGGAAGCTCTCGATATAAGCCAATTGTCGTGCCTGAACACACCTCCAAATTGAATAACACAGTCAGAGGCTTGGATGCTGTTACGTTCATTTTCATTCATTTGTTTTCAATAAATTTACAATTAACTAGAAGTAGAGTGCTTGGTTACTTCACTACTTGTTGAGTTATGCAATGAGCAGCAGTGACCACCCACGTCTGGCTGATGAGGACGCCTCCACACGAGTAATCAAGACATTTGATGAACGCTTGCCACGGTATTTCACCTTTTTCAACAAACGAACCGTAGATAACATGCTCTTTGGGTCGAACTCTGTTCCAACGTCTACCGCATTCTAAATTTTCAATTGTTATTATTGTTTGTTTAAATATTAATTGTTTAAACTGATAAAATTTTTAATCTTAAAGTTTAAATAATGTTTAAAACTAAAAACCGAGCCTACCAGAATTTTCACACTGTAGTCTCACGTAGGCCGGACATTCTGTGGTGGAGCTGGAATTAATTTAGATTAGAAATTACGCTTATGTTATATTTTGAATTTGGCTTACTCCACCACTAACATTTTGAAGTTTATTCACATTGAAATAATTTGAAATCTACAACTCTGTGCCTCACAATCAAGCTCATTTAATGTTAATACGCAGCGAGCTAGCAGCGGGAAGACAGCTGCTACTTTATTGAACTATAACGGCATCAGCAGCGGCGCGATTGTTGAAGCTGCAATAAAATTGTATCTCGCTATTTTTATATTAAAAATTATTTTTGCTGGTAGATCTATTTCTCTTGACAAAAAAAAACAAATTTTTACTTCATAATCTTTCCCATTAAATGACATTAAATTTTTTTTATGTGAAATGTAGATGTAGCGGTTTTTGACGTCACTATTTTGCGCGGCGATCAGTGGCGGCGCTAACTTTTACATGTAGCAGCGGTAGCGGCGTCAGATTTATGGATATTTTTAACAACATCGTTTAAATTAAAATACTTTGTAAGAACAATCGACTGACTTGTGAGCGTTTGTGGTGTAGTTGTCACTGTCAGGATCGACTTTTATTCCAACAGTAGGCAGGGATTTGTTATTTTCCACCAAAATGTGACCAATAGCTGCTCTTTAATTAGGTAAACTGTTAAATTTATGCTAATAAAAGATTTGCATTAAAATAAATAAACCCAACCGATATCCGGCCAGTTTGCAAAAGAACGATGACTTGTTCGCGTCCCAGTCATCGGCACAGACCAGAGTTTTTGTTGATCCAGCAACATTTATCAACAGATCTCCGTTTTTTGATAACGACACTTTGTAAAAAAATAAGTTGAGCTATTTAAATATTTGTTAATGCTTACCATAATGTGTTAGCCAATATAGAGAACCATGAAGAATTACCGCAGTTAGCTTCGTCGTCAGTTTCTGGGCAGTCACTAACGAGGTCACACCTCTTGTACACGTCGATGCATGAACCCGACCTGCCCGAGCATCTGTACTGAGAACCATCAGGACAGGCAGCTGCATCAAATGAAATTATAAAAATGATCATCAAACGTTAAATGGTTAAAGAGCCCAAAGTTCATTACTCAACCAAGGACGAATTGATCAATCGTAATTAAAATTTATTGAAGCATTTTCATTCCGTTGATGATATTCAAAATAATTCATTTTAAAACGTGTGACGTACGATTAATTGGTATGTAAAAATGTTATGACAATCAATTTCAAAATGAACATGTTAAAAGATGTAATTATATGCCTTACGACAGCTCTTTTCACTTTCGTCATCTCCTTCGGGGCAGTCCTTGTGCTTATCGCAGAGGTACATGCTTGATATGCACCTTCCCCTCAGACACTGGTAGTCATTCTTTCGACACGCTTCCAAATGAATTCATTAAAATTATCATAATTAATGTGAAATACCATAAAAATTTTTATTTTCAAAGCTTATGTTAGCATAAAATGTTTATAAAAATGACACGTAAAAACCGCACTGCAGTTGGTTTCGTCGGCATCGTCAGGACAATCTTGGAAGCGGTCGCACATCTGATTGGGATTGAGGCAAAGTTTGCTCTCGTAACAGTACATCGCCGTGCCCTCTGGGCAATCTAGTGCACGATGCATTGAATAAAAAATTATTATTTTATAGTAGAATAGTTATTTTTAATCGGGTTAAATCTTTTTAAACTGACCGTTTATCGCCATGGCTCTGGAGTAAACTATAAAATAAAATTATCAGTAATAAATAAATAAAGAAATTAATTACTAAGCAAGCCATTTGTGTTTGATCACCAAGCACGTTTTTCAAATTTTTAAAAAGTTGTCAAGTTTACGGACCTAAGTGGAAGACTTTCTTGAAAGAGTATTTCGAATAATCAGTTGTGTTCTCGAGGATGAATGTCGAAAGGAGGATGGTGGAAACAGTGCAGAGGATCCAGAGGTATGCGATCTCTCGCCTCTGGTAGAAGTGCGTTGATTCGGATATTGTTGTGCCTTGTGGGAAACATCTGCAACAATTTTCGGTCAGCTCTTCTATTGCAAATGTTGCTAATTATGATATGAAGAAAAATATTATCAAATAAAAACTAACGGTAGAATGTATTCGTTGGAGAATAAACTGGAGGAGAATGCAGATGCCCGTGGTGTGTAAGACAACTGGCTGTCAAACCGGTCGTTCGTTTCATTCACCATTGTAGAAATTTCATTTCCTACTTTTTCAAAGTTTCAGCTTTTGAAGTCAGTCAACCGATTACATTTTTGCAGTTGAAAGTGTTCGTTTATTTATTCATAAATTACTTATTGGTAAATCGCAAGTTTCAATTTTAAACATGATATAACTTTCATTATTAGTTGAAATTAGAACATTGAAAGAAACTTTTTCAATTATATTTCAATTTTCATTCAACAAGTTTTTGAACATTTTTTAATACGCTATCTTCTTATTACATATTAAAAATAAACAATTTGTTGGTATTTAAAATGTTCAGTAAACCAAACTTGATAAATGTTTTTATAATGAGTGTAGATAAAGATAAAAAAAAGCAGGCCTGTTTATTTAATGTTTTGAAAACAACCACAACGTCACTGAATGCTTAAAAATGTATTTATACTAAGTAGAATGGCACAATCACACACATACACACTCACATACACACACACACACTCACATACATACACACACCACATACACACACACACGTACGCACATGATACTACACACATATACACAATAAACATAAGTCAACACAATACAAGGCATCTTATTTGCATCAGAACGTTTTGTTGTCTTTTCTGGTACCTATTATTTCAGCCCAATATCAACACACCACATAAGCATAGAAACAAAACAAGTGCATACAGACATATGCATAAAGTCACTTATTGCATTTAGATATTAAGACATCTGTAACGTTTTGGGTTTTTTTTACAAAGATGTTCCAGGATGACTGTTGGTTTCAGTTTCAGTTTTTCAAATGCAATAGCGCAGTATTTTTCAGATTGTTGAAAACTCAATAATTATAAGAAGCAATGGAGGAATTAATTTTATTGAATGAATAAAAGTATTCACATTAAAATCTAGTCGATGGATTTTTTAAAAATCTAGATAATGCAACACAATTTTTTTTGAAAATTCTTCATTTAGTACACAGAAAATCTACTAAAAAATTGATTTGATGTATTGTAAAAATTGACATTAACTCAGTAAGTAGTAATACATTTTTGTTCTTGTAATGAATTGTAATGCAAAGAATTGTAATGTAATGAATTGTAATGGGATAAATTGTAATGCGACAAACTGTAATGTAATGAATTATAATGTAAAGAATTGTGTAACAACCATTATGACAAATACAATGTAATTAATAATCATTATCATTTGTAACAACTGACAATAATAAAAATGTATATATATATATATGTATATATATATATATAATATATATATCATTATATAACATAATACGATTATATTATACACCATTATATAACATAATGTATCGTGTAATGTTTTGTTACACAACGTATATGTATGTAAATATGTGTACATGTGTGTGTGTGTACGTGTGTGTTTACATGTAATAAGTGCATCACTACGGTTATGTATACAGATATATAAATAATTGTGCTTGCTACTTCATACTGCAGTCGCTACGTTAACCACATGATTTAACAGGATTTACCTGTAGAAGATTTGACTTGTTCGGTTATAAGTGCCATTTTCAATACATATTATGAATCAATCACGTGATTTATATATATATATATATACACATATATTTATATATGTGTGTATGTGTGATGTGTATGTGCGTGTGTGTGTGTGTTTAAATGTTATTTGTACTGTACATTTGATACATTGGTGCCTCTACAAATTAAACTAAAAAATAAATATATCAGACATCAATCATTTTTCACCATTTTAATAATTTTTTTATTTTTTTCTGAAAAACAATATATATATATATATATATATATATATGTGTGTGTGTGTGTGTGTGTGTGTGTGTGTGTGTGTGTGTGTGTGTGTGTGTGTGTGATGAAGACTGTCAGAAATAAAATTATTGATAAAAATCACAGCATGTTCGGCGTTAGTTAACTTCTTGTTTAATATTTCGGGTTTTCTAACGGTAGATCGTAAATCAATGTCAAGTTTCTTGAGTTCAAAATTTAAATTTTTATTTATCATAAGCATGATAGAAAATTTAACCATGATAGAACAAAAAAAGCTTTATTCGGTATTCCAATACCATCTTTGGAGTTCGTGTTGATACGTTGTGTGCAGTAGTAAGCCAGAATCGATAATGGATCGTTGCCATTTAACATATTCGTTCAATTGTAATATTGGTGAGTGGAGGCACCATAGTTCCGAATATATTGGTATGACGACGACCAAGCTACCGAGAAGACTCACGATGAACGTACAAACCGGCCCTATAAAGAATCACTCGAAAGAGAAACACAAAACTAAAATTACTAGGCAAATGTTGGTGCACAATATTGAAATCTTACATTACGATAACAACCATTATAATTTACGACTTGCCGAATCAATACACATAGAACAAAGACATCCGATAATAAAAATTCAACAACGTGCCATTGGTATCCTTCACACTAATCAATTTATAAACAGATGAATCATCGATAATGATGACACGTAAAAGTGTCATATCGCATAAAGTTGAGGATTGTAAAACTTGTATATATATATATATTTGAGCATTCGGCCACATACACAACGTATCAATTTGAACACCGAGATGGTATAGGAAATGCTTTTTTGTTCTATCATGCTTAAAATAAACAAAAATTTTGGTTTTGAGCTCAAGAAACTTGACATTGATTTACGTTCTACAGATAGAAAAATCTAAAAATTAAACAGGACTTTAACTAACGCGGAACATGCTGTGATTTTCATCAATAATAACTGATATATATATATATATATATATATATATATATATATATATATATATATATATATATATATCTGATAATCAATACGTGCACGTAATAACATTATAATTTGGCATTGGCAAGCGAACATACATGAGTGAGTAGTGATTGAACGAACAATAAAAGAACACTTCTAATTCTTAGGTTACTAGTTAGTTAGTACTAGCTAGTAACTATTTAGTACTAGCTAGTAAGGTAAAGTTACTAGTCTGTTATTTGATCATTCATAAGTCTGTCATCATAACATCTTCATCGTGAATCTATTTACATTAAAGGAAATAAATTATGTAAAAAAAAGAGGTCATGCGCGTTCAAATGTTTCAGAAATAACAATCTGTTATAACAGTTAGTAATAACAATCAACATCTACAATAAAGTAATTTTTAGAAATATGAAATATTCAAAGTGGTTGAATTATGTTATCTCATTGTTTAATTGTGATCATTTAGACTTTATGAACGATGCGAACCCGTTTGTATATCTCTTCTAAAAGTTCATCCATAAATACATACATACACGCATGGATTACGTTAAGGGCAGTTATGCAAAACAACTTTTTTTCATAAAAATGCAAAATAAAAACCTTAAAAGAACAAAATAACGATAAGCTAAAAAAACAAGTCAAAAGTCACAATCTCACTCGGATATTGCTTGAAAAACGCAGAGTAAAAATGATTTAACTTTGATAGAAAATGTACAAAAACATGTGAAACGAGACTGAACTTAATTTATTTATTTGAGGATAATCAACATTTATTGGAGGATAATCAACAAAGCCATAAGAAAACAATTTCTACGAAGCGAACTTTCTCTCCAATGACATTTGACATTTTCTTGCTTGGAAGCAATTACTTTTGAATACGCGTATGCAATGGCGACATCAAAATAAATCAATAATGCTAAATATAAATAAATAAAAAATAAACGTATTTAAAAATAAAGATTGATAGACATAAATAGTATAAATATGTAAAAACTTATTAAAATACATATTCATATTAGTGCCTTTCTTCTGCATGAATGCATTCGTTTATGTCATTAACGAATATGACAAATAGTAACGGACGAAGAATGCTTTCTTGTGGGAATTCATGGCAAATTTTTAAAGTAGAAGAATTTTTATTTTGCCATGTGACAAATTGAGTTCTGTCTGATAAATCACACACAAACTAGCTCAGTAATAAACCGCGTATTCTATAACAATTCAGTTTATCTATCAAGATGGAATGATCAATGAATGAAGTGGAAGGCCTCCGACAAGTCAATCAATACTCGTTCCAACAAGGTGATTTTTGAATTCGACTGCCTCACCAACTTTTCCTATCTGTTTAGTGATAGCCAATTCTGTTGAATATCCATTACAAAAAAAAACAGATTAGATTAGATTTTTGAAGAGAATCTACGATTTTGTTGTACATCAAATTTTATATTACCTTAAAAAACGTGTTAATAGTGAGACCGGTTGAAAATTTGATATTTCACTATTGCTGGCATTTTTGACAATTGGTGTCACTTTTGAAATTTTGAAACAACTAGAAAGCACACCTGAAGAGAAAGACAAGTTTACAAGATGTTCCAGAATTGGTGCTGTTGTTTTGATATCTCTGATCATAACAATTGAGGAAATTTCATTAATGCCACTCGAATGTTTCGATTTGAGACTCTTGGTTGTTGGAATAGTTTTCTCTGTTGTTGTCACATAATAACACTCATGGCCTCATGTAATCATCGCATCATGGCATCATCACATTAACACATCATCACATAATTTTAACATATCATCTCATAAACACATGGTCACACACATTACATATCATAGAACCACATTATCAAATAAACACATCATTGTCAAATATCACCACACATTGCACTCATCCCATCATCGTCACGTGACAAAAGGATAATACTTCCTGCTAAATGTAGATACATTGCAAAAACAGACGTGAATTTATGTTTGTTTTTGCCATGTGGCTCTATCTCTTCCCACACACACACAACACCACACACACACCACACACAAACCACACACACGCGCGCACACACGCGCGCACACTTCTTATTAGTTTATGACAGTTATAAAAATGTCAATAGTATCGTGTAAATAAAATTAATTTTATAAGAATGTATATATGTTTGCGTGCGTGTGTAAAACCTAATATGGTCTTCCAATTTATGTGGCCATAATTCATTCAGTTTTTCTAGAATTATAAACTGATATATATATATATATAAATTTATTTGCATATACATTTGTATTATTAGATAAATTTATATTTACTTGCATGTATACATGCACGCATACATGCACACTGATGTATATTTGATTACGTTTAAAAGGTGTAAGGGTGTTTTTTTAGAAACTACAACTCATTACAAAGAGCTAATTCTCTTCCAGATATCTGTTGTGACGAGGTGTGTGTGTGTGTGTGTAACTTGTGCGAATGTACACACATGTGTGTGTGTGTGTGTGTTCGTATGCGTGTGTTCTTATGTGTACGTGTATGTGTGTTTATTCGTTAGTTTGTGTCTTCGTTTGCACACTTGCATACATTTATTGTTATGCTTTTTTATGCATGCGTACGTTGTGTGTGCGTGTGTGTGGTTGTGGGCTGCTCATTGTTAAATCACTTAATTGTGTGTGCGTGCGTGCGCGTGCGTGCGTGCGTGTTTCAATTGTTTATTTAATATCCTGGTGCACAGTATGTAACGTTGTTTGCTGACTTGTTAGTTATGTTCATTGAAGATTGGGATGCGATGCACATGGCAAACAAACAAATTAAAAGATTTGATGGATGGATGGATGGATAGCTGGATGGATGGATGAATGGGTATATGAATGGATATATAGATGAATGAATAAATGGATAGATGGATGAATTGAAGGATCAATGGATGAATAGATGGTTAGGAATGTTGGTTGATTGTTAATTTTATAAGTGATTTGCGCAAACTTAGCGTCGTTGAACGCTGTTGTAAGTTGTTTAAAACGTTCTTATGGGTTTTCATTGGTGGCCTCACACGATATACCGTTAAAATCATTGAATCAATTTTCAAAATTTTACAGTTTTTTTAAAAGGTATTCATGTGTAGTTATGGACTACTAAGATAATGACGATCGAGAGGATGATGATGATGATGATAAAAATGACGAAGATGATGACATTAATGTTCATTACAACAGCAACAACAATGACTATGACACTAACAAAACAACTACAGTGATGACGTCAATGAAAAGACAGGAACGTGCGAATGAACAACCAAATATCCCAAAAAACTTCAAACGAACGATATGCTAACATATTTTTTGACACCTTCGACTGTCACAACAATTACGACACTACAAAATCACATCAATAAAGGATGCATGAAACTTTTTCACAAATGTTTTCATGATACACAAAAACTTATCACAATGCTACTGATTGCTGGTCATAAATTTAAATGAAAGATGAATATTAAGCAAGCAAGCTATAAACCAATGTTGAAGTTTACAAAGAATTCGACAATGTCCAATTTTATTATTTTACAAACACAGAAAAAAATATGCAATGGTAAAACAAAGCTTTCACCATTAAATTTGTCACTCAACGATATCATAATCACTACTATATCATCATCATCATCATCGTCGTCGTTTTAGTTTTCTCAAAAATCATAATCTCCATCACTATCACCACCACCACCACCATTATCATCATCATCATCATCATCACCATCATCACTATCATCATCATCATCCCCAAGGTCATCATTTTAAT